CCAAAAGGTATGACCCACCTAAAGAGAACCAAAAACAATTTCACTCGCACATAAATCTCCATTTTTCCAGCTCTTTGACAACCTCATGCTGGTTTAAATGAAAAAAGAATAAAAAATACGCAAAAAAAGGAAAGCCATTATCCTGCCAAGAGAGAAGTTCAAGCACAGCCTGATGTTATTCTTATACACACATGGCAAAGTGATCGTGCCTCTGTGCTCACTCAGTTATTAAGTAACCTAACTTCACAAAAGCATTATTATCCTCCTCATTCTGAGTCAAGCTGCTCTAATACCTTGCTTGTTTGAGAGTCTTTGAAGCAGAATGGGATTTTTCTTTGTCCCTGTTTGATGTGCGTGCAGCCGCCTGTGGACAAATGATTTGCTTCAATCCATTGTCCCTTTGTTCTCCTCCATTTGGTTTTACCTTTATATTGCATTGTTTTAACAACTGCTTTTGCATATTCATGCAACACTATTTCTTAATACACTGTTCAGCTTTCTTTTTACGGTGATCAAACAGTGAAAGCTGTTTTTTGGAGTTCCTTATATTAAGACTTCACATATTCCATATTTTTTCCATCTTTGGTATCTGTTCCACATTAAGAATTATTTTCTTGTTTGAATCACATGCGGTGACATTGAAAAAAGCATCTTGTTGCACAGAAAACTGTTAATTATACAGCAGAGAGCCATTAAGCAGCAGATAAAGTTTATGGTGCAAAATAATAAACAGAGAGCTGTGAAAACAATGAGTTCTCTACCAGAAGTCTGTGATATATTTACCTTAAGGGTTTCACCAACCCAGCCTACCCTTATATCTCATTATGCTTTACATGAAATAATGAGCAGGACTTTTTTTATTGAGCCTGATGACTTTGAATATGTCTTTATAATTAAAGGGACTAGATATTTCTGTATATAAACTAAATCTGTATTTCTTGAAAATTGCCTTGAGATTGCATTTGTTGTGAATTCTGCTACATAGAGTAATGTAACTTAATCTCATTGAACTGAAGCTGAAGTCATTCACAAATGTAATTGCTCAGATATTACAATTAAACACAAGATTTTCACCTTAAACGGTATAAGGATCATTCGCATTTCAAAAGACAGAGAGGAGAACCTAAACAAATGTATTGTAGATATATGTGTAGGAAAACACACCCAGCCTGTTAAGTAAAACGGCTGTGTTTTGTAATATTATAAATCAGACAAAAAAAAAGGTTTTAGAACTTCTTTCACTTTTAATTTAACAAACATCTTGTAAAATTTTTCTTAAAACAGATAACACTTGAAAAGGGAAATGTGACTAAGGCTATATTGAAACACAATCATTTCTTCTTTAGCATTCTGGCTTTTGTACGAATTTGTCAGAAATTAAGCTTAAGCTTAATTCAATCTGGAAGACTTTCATCAGCTTCACCTGAACCACCGGCAATGTCCCTTGTTCAGCTCAAGCCAATTAATTCAGAGGAGCGCACCGTCAGCCAATCCTCTTGCAAGATCCCCTTTATTTAGCTTCTAGCCCAGCTTCTCTCTCCCGCACTTAAGCGAACTTTCACCCTGCTCCACCTCATCTCCTCCCTCATTCTCAGACTATTCTCAGTCCCACTCACCCTCTGGCTTATTCCACGACTGGGGGAAGACTACTCTAATCCTTTTTTAGGTTACTCATCCAAGCGCTCATTTATTCACTGCATCGAAGATTTCTACCGGGGCCCAAGAGCCAAAGAACTTATTTTGTTTATGTCTTTCTCTTCTTCCGCCTCCTTGAACCCCAGTCCGCCTCGGCAGATGGCCACTCACACTGAGCCTGGTTCTGCTGGAGGTTTCTTCCTGTTAAAAGGGAGTTTTCCTCTCCACTGTCTCTACATGCATGCTCAGTGCGAAAGATTGCAGATAGCCAATAAGTCCTCGCAGTCAGCAAAAATATGATAGTGTTACCTGCATAAATAAATTGAATATTTTGTAATTTCAGCTTTTCTATGTGTGAGTCTCTCAGGGTTGAATTTTAAAATTGGACTTAGAAAAAAAGTATTCTTCTGGTTGTTCTTAATGTTCTCAATATCTCTCAGATTTCAAACTTCTAATTAACCTGATATAACAGATATTAAGTCAAATTCTGTGCCGGGTTTTGTGTTAAAGGAACACACACACTCATATATATATAATGTGAATATGTGTATGTTATCTATCCCTACTATTTTAATTTTATTTCTGTGCTTCTTGAATAAAAACTACAAGTCTTTGGTCGTTATTTTGTGAGGAAACACTTTTAAAAGAGATGTTGGCAGAGTTATTGAACTGTGCAGCCATTCATTGATTTGATATTTAACCCACTGCTGATGCTAAGAACATTGTGACAGATAAAGGTGCAGAAATATCAGAGAAGCACTCTGTAAATGTTCTTGGTGAGTTTGCCCTTTTCATATTAGATACGATTCAGCAGCTCCATTCTCAAGGAGCTTGTCAGCGCAGCTTGTTCAGAGCTAATGCTGCATAAATAAATCTAACTGGTAATTGAAAAAAAGGTGATTTCATATTTCTGTCATTTCTGCCTGTTGAAGCACGGTGATTTATTTGTTCCTTTACAGACCAATTATTTTTGCCTCACCAAATTCTACACAATTGTCCTTATTTTAACATAGTTTCGCTCAATAAATTGGCCACTTGCTCTCATTAAAAAGGTATCATGTATTCAGTTCCAGATTACAGCAAATATCATCTCCAATGCACTCTGCAAATAATGAATCCCTTTTCGATCCTAGTTGAGCAATAAATTCAGGTTCAGTTTTTTTTTTTTTTTTTTATTGATTGAAATCTGCTTTGTCTAAGGAAGCCTAGTCATTTTCATTATAGAACTGAGTTTACAACAGCATTTCCTCCTCAGCATCCATCCAGCAAACAGTTGAGCGGATTGAGTGTTATGCTTGTAACATACTGCGTATGACGGATTGTTGTGGAAAGAAGAACTTCTAACAGAAAAAAAAAATCTTTACTTCATCCTTTACTTCTCTCAGGGTTCTATCTTTATTTTGTCTTTTACTCCCTCATCCTTTCCTTGATTCCTCTTGGATGCTTCTATCTACTTCTTCCTTTGGTTTGGTTTTTATTTAAAATCAAGTTCAAAAATACTTTATTAATCCCAAAGTGAAATTAAATGTTGCAGTAACTCATAAGTTATTTCTTTAAATAAATGTTGTAGGTGTTGATAGCTGTAGGCAGGAAGGATCTTCTGTGGAGGTCTGTCTTCCACCGGAGCTGGAGAAAACTTCTTACTGAAGATACTCTGTTGTTGTTTAAAAATCATCCGAAGAGGATGCTCACTGTTTTCCATAATTTTCTTCACATTATAAAGACTTCTTATTTGTGAAATAATCTTGAGGTTCTAGAGGAGTTCCTAGAACAGAGCTGGCCTTCTTTTCCATCCTTGAAAAGGCCCAGTGGCCTAATGGACAAGGCATCAACCTCCAGAGATGGGGATTGTGGGTTGAAGTCTAATCTGGGTCGTACATGTTTAATCTCAGATTTATCTCAGAATACTGTATTTATAAGTGGAGTTATTAAAGGGGAGTGTTGGCATAGTGGTTGAAGTAGTGTGCTTGTTCTCAGAGGTTTCAAATACCTGGTTCAATCCCAGAGCCTGCTCTCTGATTGCTCCCCAGGCGCCACAGTGGCAGCCCACTGCTCCCCAAGGGGATGGGTTAGGATGCAGAAGTGAATTTCTCCATTGTGATATAAATGATGTTCTCTTTTTTTTTTTTTTTTCTGGGTTGTGTTCTGGCTCTCTTCAGTCTTTTCTACCTTGTGACGGTTCTTTTTGTTCTTTATCCCTCTCTTCTCTGTGCCCTTGCTTATCTCCTTGCTTCCTTGTGTCCTATGTCTCCTTCTTTATTCCTTCCCTGCATATATTTATAGCCTTTCCTCCCTTGTTTTTGTATGTGTTCTTTCTTGAGTTGGGAGAATGGGGCCTACTGGTCAGAGTAGAAAGCTTCTACCTTAAGAAGGAAACAAGTTCCTTGGTTTCTAGTCACTGTGTTGCTAAGGGATCCTAGACCCATAATAGTCTGTGGGTGCTAAATAATGGCAGTTTGCCGTTCCCTAATGGGGTGGGGGGGATATCAATGTAATGTACCAATTTCAATAAAATGCTTTAGCGTCCTATTTCTTCTTTCATATCTGTATACATATCTACCAAACATTAATAACCTTTCGTAGGTAGTACTTATAAATAAACCTTAATGAATTATCAAAATTGTAGTAAGAACAAGCCGTATATTTTTACATTAAAGATGCATATAAACAAAGGAAAGCATGTTTAGCGGGGTAAATCCACAGTATATACAAACTTGTACAGGGTATTAAAAAAATCTGAGGGAAAATGCAGGGAGTAATTGAGTTTTTAGTAAGGTCAAATATCCTGAAACCAATAGTAAAGCATTAAGCTTCAGTAGGGGCATTAATAACGGCCTTCAAGTTCATTTGAGTAGTTCTGAAATGTAACCAATAGATGGCAGATTTTACCATATAGTAAAAACGTATTACAGTTTTTGACCACATGAGGTCATCAATGAGCTTTTCTGTTCACAAGACTATGAGCTTTATAATGAAAACAGTGTTCATATTTGTCTAGTTACAAACGTTTCCATCATTAGACTGAACATGAAACCACTTTATTAGAGGCTGTACTTAAAGGCAGTTATAAAAATACAAAATGTTTTGATTACTTAAGTGACGTGGATACAGTTTGTCAATTTAAAAGTGTTTTTTTTTTTTTATCTAATAGTGAGGAGTCAAAGATATTCCCTTTCAGCCCCTTTGAAAAAAAACAAACATTTAAATTAATTGGCTCGTCTATAGTAGGTCAACCAACACTGTGCTGCATTATGATAAGTTTATGTGTTATACTGTATTTTCCCGTGCATAATTTCCTTAAAAAAGGCTGTAAAAGTGATCATGCTAAGTCTGCTTCTTTCCTTTTTTCTCTCCCCCCACTCCAGATAACCAGGTTCTGCAGTTTGGGAAGCTGGTGAGCACATCCAATACCTATGAACCAACAGCACCAGGAAAGCCCAGGAAGTCTGTGACTGTGACCACAGACCAGCCTCTGCTTTGGAGCATGGGCATTTGTATGAGTGGAAAGTGAGAGATTCTTACAAACTGTTCAGGCAGTCTATATACAAAAACTAGTGCTAGAAGTGGGATAAGATCTATTTAAGGAATACAGATTTATGACTGGTCAGAATTTAGACAATCAGCATAAGAACATAAAATTGTAACCCACTGCATGTGCCTTTATTCCCCAACATCTGCTGTTAGGGGATAAATATTTTAACTCCAGCTAAAGTGCCTATTTTTTTCTATATCTAGACTTTTCATATCTGTACTGTTACAATTAATGGTGAAATAAATAAAGCTGCATTAACAATACAGAAGAACCAAAGAACCAGTTTGTGAAAAAAGCCTGTTTTCAATTGTTTTATTTACACAACAAAATATAAATGTTGAGCACAGAAGGTAAAAATGTCTGTTTAGTTCGGCATCACACCAGTCCAATAACACTTCGTACAGGGTCTGTCCAGAGTTTTCTTGATCAGGATTCAACCGCCACTAGAAGAAAAAGATGGAAAAGAATGTTAGCAAATAATAAAGCTTACAGCTTTACTCTGTCATGCATCCATGTTGCCCCTTTATTAAAACTACATTTCAACAAGAATAAAATCTGTATTTTCTTTAGGTTTGGAAACTATTTTAAAAATAAAGAAACCCATTGATTAGAAGGACAAAAACTACATTACCACTGCATTTATACATCAACAGCCCACATTATTATAATAAAACAAGGCTGGAGATCAGTGTGGTGCTTCTGTTACCATTTGTTTGGATTTATAACAACTATGAACACATGCAAATAGATTTTTACATTTTGCAACAAAAAAAAAGATCATTTGCAATAGATTTGTGAACTGTGTGGAAATATATTTTTATGACAACTAAATAAAATTAGTATTGCTGAGGTTCAAGCATCAGTTGCAATGTTAAGCAAATGAATTATGTTTAAGAGTACTCAACATAAGGCAATAGTTTGTGATTAGAACATATTTGGAAAGGAAAGCTTGGATTTAAAATAGTGAAACATGTTTATAATTCATATAATACACATTTTGCCTTGCCAGTTCATTGGTTATCTAAATGGAAATTAAGCTTTTTTGCTTGTTTTACCTACAGATTTTACATTTTTCCACCAACTGAAAGAAAAGATATCCAGCAGTGTTTTTACTTACACAATGATATTGTTGATGGGGATATGGATGAGCTTGACAAAGAAACCAATAAAGCCCATTATGGCAAACCCAATCGCTGTTGCCATGGCGATCTTCTGAAATTCTGAAGGAAAAAAAAAGGGAAAAAATTAAAAAGGAAACGAGCAATAGTATTGAACTTTAGTGCCGTTTATATTCAGAGCAAGTAAACACAACAACTTAAAGCAAAAAGAAGAACAAACGGAGGGTAATCCTACCTTTTCGGTCAGGTTTTGTGCACCTTTTCACAAGCCTTATGGAATCTTTGACGAACTGCCGACTGGGCTCCACGAATTGCATGACCTGATCCATGTTTGGGCTGCGGACAGAAATCAGACAAATCACAAGCAGCATTAGCAAATGCTAGAGCGCTGACGTAGACCTCAATACCTCAATATTGTATTGCTTTATACTCTTCACATTTCTTCATTCAATAGTCAAAAACATACCACTATAGTGACGAATGTGATATTTTAAATTAGGATATATGAATGCGTATTACGAACCTATAATAAAAACCAACCCCCTACTATCATAAGACAAGCTAACGTCGTCGTAGCATTCCGTTTAAAGTTAGAAATACGCGATCGAAATACGTCTAAGGGCTAGAGCTCTTGAGTATTTTACGATTTTAATAAAAGAAAAAGATTAGGATTGATAGAATAACCGACATCTTACCTGTTTCCGTCCTGTTCTTTCTCAGAAGACAGAGAAGTGATGGCCACGTAGCTTTAAAGCAGCTAGAAGGAAAAAATTGAGCTGACGTAGACTTGAACAGCGCATGCGTGTGAGGTGTAATTTGTTATTTAGTTTGCACAAATGTTTGTCTACATCGCCCCCTAAAGGCTAGGAGGTTTCCTCCAGCATAAATGGGAAGGGGAATTTTCTCAATTAAAAACAGCGTTGAATAAATTTCTTAGGCCTTTAAGTACAGGTGATTTACGATTAATGATGCTTTAATTTATTTCTAGTTCACAAACTTAATCTAACTGTAAAAATATGTGTTTCTTTACAGGTATATTCTTTTCACCCTAACACACAAATTAAATTCTTATTGACATAATACATGAAAAGTATTCACCAAAAAAATACAGCGTATTACTATGAAAGCACAAAGATGAAAAAGACCTAATATGCTGTATGCATATTATTTATTACTTATTTATTTTGACCTGTACTAACTTCTTTTTTCTCCTCCATCTACCTTCAATGTTAGAATTTCTGATTAAACTCTAGAAGTTCTCTAAATCCAGTCTTCTTATTTTGGTTTTCTTTATGCAAATTATTTTCTCTAAAATGCCCCCCAGCTGAAATTTTTTACTGTTAAGCCTGAAACACTGAGTTTTAGGCACTTTTTTTTCAATTTCTAAGTCATTTTTAGTTAGATTTTTTTATATCAACTTGTGCATATATGTATGTATAGATTCCGCCATCCAGCCATCCATTTTCCAACACGCTTATCCCTGCTGGGGTGGTGAGGGGTGCTGGTGCTTATCTCCAGCTGTTTTTTTGAGAAGTCAATTAACCTAACAGTCATGTTTTTGGACTGTGGAAGGAAGCTGGAGTACCTGGAGAGAACCCATGCATGCTCAGGGAGAACATGCAAACTCCATGCAAAAAAGCCCCAGGCCAGGAACCAAACCCGGAACCTTCTTACTGCAAGGCAGCAGTGCTACCGATTGCGACACTGTGCTGCCCCTTATGCATTCATTGCAAGAATCTGATGGGAAATTGCATTTTGTTAACTTTTTTAAGGAGTTCCTTCTACCAGACTTTGTAGATGTTAATGGTTGTAGGTTGGAAGAATCTGTCTTACAGCAGGTCTGGAGAAGCCTCGACTAAAGACTGTTGTTCAACAGTCGGATGAAGAGGATGCTCAGGGTTTTCCATATTTTTTTTTTTATGGTGTAAAGAAATTTTTTTTTTAAATCATTCCCAGAGGTTCTAGCAAAGTTCCAAGAACATTTAGCATTTGTGCTTATTATAGAAGTGCATATTAGAAGGCTATTTTACAATTTATTTCAATTCATTTGTGTAAATAATTCTATAGAAGTATTTTACTGATACTCTGCCTCAAAAAGAAATGTATCTCTTAAAACACATTTTAAAAAATGCCACAATATTCTTTTATTATTTAAAAATACCCTTTTTTCAGAATCCTTTGCCACTACTTTATAAAAAAAAATACATTTATATATTCTTAATTGCTTTGTCAAATATGCTGTATGTACATATACCAGCACTGTTGAAAAAGGGTCATGTTTCAAATACTGTGACCACATTCCTTGTTACTCATAGAACTCTGCTTCTAATGCCCCCTCATGTGATTTAGATTAAGATTAGAGTTTTTTTGTTCTGGTATTTTACTTTAAAGACCCATGTGAGTCAGCAGCAGGATTCCAGGGTTTCATTTCATTATTGTTACACTAGAAAATAACCAACAATAAGGACACAGATTTAAGCCATCAATCTGGGTGGTATTAAGTCTATAAAGAGCCTCAGATCTCTAAATGCTTTTGTGAAGCTGTGTTATTGTCATTCATGCAATTCAATGCAGAACAGTCAGTATAAGCAAAAAGAATATGCAAATAAATATTGCAGAAAAAAACATGCACAACTCTGCAATTTGCTGCTTTAAAAAGTTTATTATTTACAAGATGCCCTGCTGTTTTATAGCATGTTTCACATCACTCTGAAAGATCACATGTAGGTATGTTTGATCTTTATTGTGTTGCAACCCATCACCTCAGTCTAGCCATTTCACAGATTTTATTTTTCCTTCATATACTGTATATTAGAGAAAAAAGGCATTTGAAGAGTGTTTGCAGAGTGTATGACTCTAACGATGCAATAAGCAGTTACAAAAAACACACAGGGATCTGACTTTTGTTGATCAATAAATGTAGAAAGAGTTTTTAGGAAAAGGAAAGATAAAACAAAAGCAAGATTTTTAAAATGTTCTCTTTTCACTCAGGGTAACAACTTATCCAGAGCTGTTCTTTGTCTTCCAAGTGTTGAGATCCCTTAGAATTAAGACTACTGTTGTAAACATCTGTTGCTTCACTAGTGTAACAATATATTATAAGTAACCTTTTACATTGCAGTCGTTTTCCTCTAATCGCCATACTAAAGTATGAAATCTCCTTTGAAAGCTAATATTTCCAAACATGTAGCACCGTAGGCGGCACAATATAGGAGTCGGATAATGAACTTGTAAAATTCAAAGCAATAAAATGTACAAACTGGTTAGCTTAATCTCATTAAAAGAACCCTTTTTGAACAAGATAGACGATATATAAATACTTTCTACATCAATTTATCTGTAATTCCTAAAAGCTTTTCCATTCAAATAAACATAATACAGTAGACTATATGCTGTTAAATTTCAACATATGATTTTTTTCTATATAAAATAAAGTAGAATTTGAAGCTGTCTTCCTTGCTTTTCACTGAAATTCACTCACTAAATCCATCATTTGTACAAAACGGGCCTAATATTGGATAAAAGTGCATAACAGTGCTTTAAAAAAAAAACAAGAAACACACAGCTTTTAGTTAATTTGCTGCTTTTCACTCCCAGGTGATGTCGAGCATGTTGCAGCTCATCTCCCACAGCCTCTGGGCCAAGTCGTCATCAGCAGCAGCCCTTGAGCAACGCGCAGGTGCACAGTCACTGAATTCAAACAGTGGCAGAAAGTAATTAGTAGATATTTCTCTGTTCTCTCTGATAATTTTAAAATAAAAAACAGAAAAATTTAACGTCTTGTTGCATGAATGTAGATGTTTAAGAGTTACTGTACTTGTTGGCTGAAACCTACCTGAAATAGGTTCCACTCAGGCTCTCCAGGCCTGGTTCCACAGCGCAAAAGATAGTGGTTTGAGCTCCCTCCACTGTTGTCTTGGTAAAGATCCTAAAGATCTTCACTGCTATTTGTATGCATTGGTGCTGGTGCCGCCACAGGTCGGACTGGACCACACCAGGGTGCAGAGAAAAAACACTGACACCAGTTCCTGCAGTGGGAAAAAAGAGGTGGCTACACATTCAGAGTTTCAAAAGTCTTCATACCCTTTGAACTTCTGTCCATCTTTTCACATTAATTTAAATAATTTATAGTAATGGTATCCTAGAAAAACACAAAGTATTGTGCACAGAAATGGAAGGAACAGGGTATATGTTTCCAACAAAAACTGAAAAGTGTGTTTTCTGATGTCAAAACTTAATGTTTTGCCCACTTTGGATGGGGGAACAGCACCTGTTCACATTAATTTAAAGCCGTGATTTGAGTTTCAATACGGGCTTCTAAAGAAAAAACACAAACATTTGAAAGCCGGAATTTTAAAAAGGAGTTTAAAATATAAATTTTATATTTTAACTAACAGAAAAAGGATGCATACATCACAACGTAGAAGCTCATTTCAGATCCCCGTTTGTTCATTTAAAGCTTGTAAATTCCAGCTCACCTTGTAGCCGCTTGGCAAGAGAGCGTGCAAACAGGACATTAGCCAGTTTGCTTTGCCCATAAGCCTTCATAGCATCATAACTCCTTTCACTGTTAATGTCATCGAGTCGTAGCCCAGTCCAAGTGTGGGCCACCGAGGCCACAATGACGATGCGTGCAGGAGCTGAACGTTTGATGAGGTCAAGCAGCAAGAAGGTCAAGAGAACGTGACCTTAGGTGGGGTCAGAAAATAAAATAATTAGGCAGGCAGTAATTGTTCTAGAGGTTAATTTTCAAAACAATGCTATGATCTTCCTTGTTGTATATGAGTGATCCAGACTACCTAAAGGTCTCAGACAAATACAGCAAGTATTTCTGATTGCTGTCGAACTTTAATCCTTTCTGTTTTTTAAGCCACAGAGTTTAAATATTTATCAGAAAGGCTCTTTAATGTTGATCTTCATTTAGGGGTTATTCCGCCTTAAGTACCGTCTCTGTCTCTCTGCATGTGTCTGAGCGTCCATATGTGTGTGGGCAACTGTGCCTGTTCACACTGACAGCTTGTGACAAAAATAATGCACAAACAATAAACATCATCTGGGACAAAGAAACAGACCAAAAACTGACAGCATAAAAAATACGAATATTTTCAGGCTGATTTCTTTGATATTTGTGCTGCTATCAAGATGGACATCCTCCTCTTTTTATTCTTTCTAACTATTCTTGAGTACAGAAATAAATTCACTTAAGTGCAATACTAACCAATCAGTTTTTCTGTAGATTTTTTGGATTTTAACAAAATTCAGGAAAAAAAGAAATATAGATAGAGCACCAAACGTTAGTATTACTCACCCAGATGATTGACTCCCAACTGCATTTCAAAGCCATCGACTGTCTTAGAATAAGGGCACATCATAATGCCTGCATTGTTTATCAGGATATTCACTTGCTGCTCTTCTGGAAAACATTAGACATGTTTATGTTAATCTAATGGAAAGCAGATATTTACCATCTGACTTTAAAATTAACCAAATGTTTCCTTTTTTAGGCCCGTTTAGATTATCAAAATTGTTCTGATAAAATTAGATTTAGTACTTGAAGAAAATAGCAAATGTTAATTTAATATACAGTGGGAAGTTGAAAAGCCTTAGAACACTAACTGTGATGCACATGGATGACAGCATCATGTTGTTTAGCTGTTGGAGGGTCTGATTCATTTACTCCTTTTCTAATAGAAGGAATGGACACAAACTCAGCAAACTAGTATGAGCACCTAAGTCATGATCGCAGTCATCAAGTTTAAAAGCATTTCTTTCAGATATAAAGAAATTCATGCAAACAGACACCAAAGAATCAAAACCACCCTGCCTCATTGAAACCTTTACTAAATACGTAGAAATAATTGAGATAATGATAGAAGACCTAAATTGGGAAGGTTTTATTATGATTTATTGTCAGAATGAGGTAAAAAAATTTCTAAACAACTGTGCTTACTCCTAAAATCTGTTCTTCTCCCGAATCTCTTTCTTGCTCTAAAATAACTGATGGATTTCCAATACAGTGATTGTTTTTATTTATTGTAAAACAGGTCTGTGTTAATCTATCTTCCACATCTGCCAGGAGTTAAACTGAAGCTAAAGTGAAGGGGAGACATCCATGCATCCACTGCATGTTATCAGCCTAACAGCGAATGGAAATTTAGTACTTAGTGAACATCGATCACAAAGGAAACATATACTAGTAGGAACACAAATGGACCACTGATGTAAACCAGAGCAAATAATAATAATGATAATTGAACTCACCTTGGAGAAATTTATCCCTGCATTTAACCCATCCCATGGGGGAATCAGTGGGCTGCCATTGTGCAGTGCCCAGGGAGCAGTGTGGGGTTAAGGGTATTGCTCAGGGACCCAGAGTGGCAGTCTGTGGGAGTGGGTCTCGAACTCATAACCTCAGGATTCCAAGATCTATGCCCTAACCACTAGGCTGCCACACCCTACAAAATAGTGGCAAAATACAACCACTTAACCATCTGTGAAAATTCGTTAACTAACCTTACCTACCCTTACCAGATAATCCTTTCCACCAAAGATCTTCTCTAAAAACCTGTTTGCTGAAGCAATCCATTTATAGGCTTCATGTGTTTTTGTATTTAATGTCACCTGCCTACCTTTGTTTATGAGCTGAGCGAACGCTCTGATGGACTTTTTATCAGACAGATCCAGTTTCCTGATAATGATGTTCTCATTTCCTGTGTCCTCCAAAATGTCGGTACGTGCATCCTCCGCCCTCTCCACGTCTCTGCATGCCATAATGATGCGTGCACCTTTAAAACAAGGTCCAGGAAAATGGATAAAAGATGTAGATCTGTTCTATTAGTGACAGACCAACTTCATCTCAGCTGTTCCGCTGAGGCATAACTGCAGCAGTAAATTAACCCAGAGGGCATGCCTCCCTCATAATTTTACTGCCTCTTACTTTTACTCTTCAAATAACACGTAAAAATAATTATATCAGCTACATTACATACTTTCAAATTTAAATCAGTATCATCTTTTCTGAAGATTTTATACTGATTTAATTAAAAAAGGAGTAAAAGCAGAGAAAGCTAAAGAGTAATGAAGTCCTTAAAAGTCTTTGTGCACATTTGATCACTCCTAATGATTTCCAAGCCCTCATTCAAAAGCCAATTTAGCTAACTGCTCCACAGTGCATGAACACAGAACTATCTCAGCTATGTCGCTTTGCTTCTCACACAAATTATGAGGTATTCTTCTTAATGAGCTCCGGAAAGGGCTTTTGAGGACAGCATTCTCATTTTTTCTCTCTCCCACACACTAGTTTGGCTGCATCACCATAAAACTAGCCAGGTATAGGAAGACGAGAAGCCCCCACACTGCATTACAAAAGTCCTCAAACAATAAAAACCACCACATATTTTATATAGCTGCTCAACGCTGCAATTAAGAAAGTAGGGAGCCATTAATCACTTGGAATGTAGCATCTGTGTCCCATTAATGTGTCTTTGTTCACGTCAGGCTGCTCCCACGTGGGAATGCTCAGTTGTTCTCCTTTTTTTGAGTTAATTCAATCAATCATATCATCCAAAAGTGTTAAGCTCATTAATCACTCTATATTTAAATTAATCAATTCGCAATCCCAGCTCTTATTTGAGTTAATCGAGAATATAGAGCACTTTGTCAACATGTCGTATTAGCACAATGACTGAAACCAAGATGAGTTAAAGTGTCGTGATTTGGTCAGATTTCCCTCGGTGCCTTGGGATGCATCCGCCCCAAGGTAGCGCTGCCTGTTATGAATCTGTGCAAACCTAATCATCTTGTCATCCTGTCATTACATAATCCCATTTACTGATAGATGAAGCCATCATCTGATACTGAATTCTCCAAAAGCAAGAAGAAAAAGGAGGAGGTCATTATTCTGTCATCTCTTCTTTCCACTCTTGTTTTTCGCCCACAGACCTCTGCATTCATTCGATTTTTCACACAGCAAAAATAATAATATATTTTTTTTCCAGGTCTACATTATGACATAAAAAGAAAATAATTCTCACTTGCCCTTTCATTTACAGAATGAAGTTGTTCTCTCGAATGCATGGTGGTAATTTTCAAAAAGCAGCAGGGGCATGCTTCATGCTGAGCCCTGAGGCGAACAAACAGACTTAATCATCTATGCACAACCAGTTTTCATATTACACTGGGTCTGCATATGTGTGTGTGTGGGTGTGCATGGCTGCACCCTTCAAACTCTCTCTTTTGTTGGCTAAGGAGGGTATCAGACCCTCACAATGCTCCCTCTGTCCCACTGACGCCTCATCTGACTTGCATCGCTGCCATCTGTCTTTTAACATCATTACTTCCATCCAGGAATGTCATCATTTTATTTTGTTTTATTTTTATTTTGTTTAAGGTATGCTGGGTTCACAAACCCTCTGAATATCTCCACCATTATATATTTAATTAAGTTGGACTAAGACAGATTAGGTGTGATTAACATTTAAGATTAGCACCAATCATCAAGCAGCGAAAGTGCTTAAATCCTCACAGCAGTGTGGAATGTTGAATGGAAAATACAATGTGAAAGTTAAAAACAATGAAAAGAGTGAGACAGAGAACCAAAACTGGACTGTACCTCTTTTTGCAAGATCTCTGGCTGTTTCCTTGCCGATGCCAGTGTTGGCTCCAGTGATGATCACTGTTTTCCCATCTAATCTCTCCTCAGAAGACCAGTGGTTACAGCATGCGCTCCTGGTTTAAAGTCAATTCAGGAAAAACACTTTAAACGTATCCAGATTCTACTCTTAGTGAGTTCTTGTCTAATTAAGTATGTAAGCAGACAAATTAAACACAAACAATTACAGTTTAAATGTCTGTACTGGTATGCCACTCTCTACTTTTTTTTGTAAACACTGGATTCTTGTAAAACTAATTTTTACCTAGGCACATGCACTAAATGAAATCATTTAGATTTTTGGTCCAAGCAGTTAGTCAGATAACAATCCTAAGAGCATTTCTGGAGGCAGTTTAATCTTCTTACAATTTCCAGTGATCATTAGATCCAGCCTATTAATATTTTCAATGGTTAAAATAGTTTCACTCCTACCTGCAGTTCATTATTCCTCCAAAGCAGTGGATTTTCACCTTAGAGGCGATGGTGTAACTTCAGTAATAACCGAAAAGGCGTCCCCTTTAGTCTCCACAACACAGTTCAGCACTGGCTTTCAGGTTGTCATCTCTACAAAGCCTGCTGCATGCATTTCGCATTCCCCGGCTGGGCCAATCAGAAGCAAGCTGACGCATGATTGATTCACAAGTTACAGCCTGAGAACAGACTGCTTTCCTGTTGGCTCCTGCTTGCCTGCCTCATACACTCTCAATAGGGACCAAGAGTTAAGGCAAACCTCATCTTGTTTTCACCTGATTAATTGGTCACAATTCAGCCCTTTATGAAGTAAAATTAGAGGTAAACTGCAGCTAATTTGATAGTATAATATTTAATCTAATAAATCATATTATACAGTATAGTTTAGTTTGATCCAGATTCTTTTAGCCAAAAGAGCTGGATACAAACCCTAAAGATTCACTTCACTTGCAACATAACACAAAAATAACTCAATAAATCAATTTCAAAGGAACTCAAATTAAAGTGATATGTTAAAACACTGTAAAGCAATTAATTAAGAGATTAAAAGCTTCCTAAGATTAAAGAGAATAATAAAAATATGATTAGATTTCCTTAACATTTCCCCCTAAAGCTTTGAAACCTAATTCAGCAAATAATTTATCACTTGGAAAAAAGAAACATTAATTGTATGTTTTTGACATATTAATTAAATGTTAATTACGGGTGACATAATGAATAGTAAGCTAAGCTTAATAATTGTTAATTGGTTTAAAAGGTTTGGCCTATAACGAAGTCAGATGTAATGCATTACATTAGCAAAGACTTGCGACCTGACTCTAAAGGTAATACCAATAAGTGATTTGATTCGGATTTAAGCATATTTACTTAAAATGACTCTATGCTCTCATTAAAGTAAGACATTTATTTTTGTAAGAAATCTTTAAAAAAATAAAAAACAGATAAATACTAATCCACACAATTAGTTTTTCAGAGATGGCTTCTTATGAGTTGTTAATGACTTGAAATGTAAAGAATGTGACTAGGACTTGTTATTCTTGATGAATGGCTTGAAACTGACTTGTGACTTACCAAGAATTAGCCTGATCCCATCTTTGTAAATGAATAAACTTTAGATGCTAAACTGAATACAGTGATGTGCTCATCAGTTAGGGTCACTATTTCTGATCATTTTAAACTGACCAAAGCTATTTTTTAAAAGAGGAACGAGAATACAGCAAATCATGACAACATTTAAACTGTCTCTGGGGATGACCAAAATATTGACTTTTTTAGGGTAACACTCATTTCCTACCAAAGACAACATATTTTATTTTTCTCAAGGTGTAGAGTATGTTGAGTATGTGATGAGTGGCTTTCCAACCACAGGTCGATGAGACACAGTCAAGATCTTTTTATAAACCCATATATTTGTAATTTAGGACTATGCATCTCCTCTTGCTTTGAACTTTACCACATTGCCTTTACTTTAGAGTAAATAAGAGAATTACCTGAAGAGTCAAGCTCTAACTGCAGGTGTTATGAAGCTTAAGCGAAAATTCAACCCTGAAGGTTTAATCAGCCTCATTAAAGCTTCAGCCAATCAACGATGGGCCGCACCTTCTACAAAGCCAATCATTCTCAAGACGTTCTTCATAGGATGAAGGTCCAGCTTCCCCATTCAGTGCATCAGCTGAATTTTTCACTCCTAGACTATTCTTAGACTTTCATCCTCCAGCTTACAGTACTCCACCACCAATGGATGGGCCTCAGAGGGAAAATTACTCCTTATCATCTTCCAAAGTTATTCATCCACACTCATGTCGACTTACAGCGTCATGTCTTCTGCCGGGGTCTGAGCGCCAAATAATGTATTTCATTCATGTCAGTAAATCTTTCTAATTGCTTCTTTTCTCTGTGTGAGTCTCTCCAGGTTGAAATCATGTTACATGTTTCTTTTTCTGCAGCCTTATTTCTATTTTGTTTGTTTTTGGATGCAAGATGGCATATGAAGAGGCTGCAGCTTTAAACTCCTCTTTGCAAGCCAACAGGTGTTTGGGCAAAATTGTAAGATTTTGACTAATTTGCATTAAATATAATCAAGAAATCTGAATATAAAGGAATATTTGATGGGTTAAAAGTGTTCACAGTGTTTTAATAGATCTCTCTAAATAACATTTTTATTGATAAATATATGAATGAGAATTTCAGTTTTTTGGTATTTTGTCATTAAGAAATATATTGTATGCTATCAATCACAGCAGGCAAAGGGAAACTATCCATTAAAATGTTGAAAGTTGAAGTAGGACGAAAGTAAAGTAAAGTCTGCAAAACATGCCAAAAACACAAGTGCACAAGAGGGGTAGCTTAATAATCCTCCCATTTTAATGGTGGTCGGTATAATTCATAATGTTTAATGGAACCTTAACATTTTGTGCATAAAATGAAAAGGGGATCTTTAGAGTGAGAACATTGCTGCACAGCATGAAGGCACGCTATTTATCTCCAGCGGATGCCCAGCAGGCGGCAGCTCACAGCCCACAGCTTCAAAGCTGTGCCATCATCCTCACCTGCCCTGCAGGGGTCTGCTCTGGAACAGTTCCTGGAACAAAAAAAGAAAAGATGAAGTAGATAAACAAACAAAGGTGAATTAATAACCTTGTTTGCCACAGTTTTTTGGTTTGTTTTCTAGGGACTTTTTAATTGTTTATCTTTTTTTTATGTCTCTCTATATATTTCTGCTGTGCTCCTGTTTATCTCACAAACAGTCATATAGGCCTATTACAATATTTAAAAACAAACAAAAAATAAATAAATAACACTGACCTCTTAAGTATTGGCTATGCTTTTTGTAAAAAAATAATTATTTCAAATTTCTAGAAAAAACAACTTCCTGGTGACAATTTGGATTTTTAATTGCAAGTTTATAGCTGCCTGTCTCACTTGTAGAATCCACCGGTGAGCATTTCATTCTCTGGAGTAATGATGCAGTAGATGGTGGTGGAGGCTCCCTCTGCTGGTGTCATTATCAAGAAACTGAAAATCTTAGCTATGTCCACAAGAGGGCGCCAAATGTGCCTTGTAATCTCAGTGTTTACAATTCCAGGGTCCACAGAAAAGGCCATCACACCAAGTGCTGGAGAGGGAAAATTGAGAATAACATAGAGATTCTTCCAAAATTCTACCATTATTATAAATATAAACCCTTTATAGCAGGAAATGGAAGTTTAATCCTTATTAAACGTATGAAGAACCTCTTGAGTTCTGCTTATCCAGCTTTTTGTGTTACTGTAAAGCAGTCTTTTCATAAAAATGCCTGTTTGCTCAGTTTCTTGCTTAAAGCGATTGTGGTTGAGGCATGAGACTATCACGCTGGCAGCAGAAGCAGACTTTTAATTCCTCCATGCAGAAGGACGGACACTCAGTCTAAGACGGACTGTCAGTCTCTATGCCCCTGAGTGTTTTTCTTCCACACATCCATATCCACACACAAACACACATAATACCCTCAGTCCTTTTGGCCAGCTCTCTGGTAAACAGCACATTAGCCAGCTTGCTCTGAGCATAGGCCCTGACAGGGTGATAATCTTTATCCCCATTCAGGTCATCAAACTGGATCTTGCCCATGGCATGAACTGTGGAGGACACGTTGATGACCCGAGATGGGACCGAGTGCTTCAGCAAGTCCAGCAGCAGGAAGGTCAAGAAGAAATGACCTAAGGAGGAACAAATGGAGAAAAAATGGAGTGAGAGATTAAGTTTTTTTGCACAACAGAGCCTAAGAATAAAAAGAAAAGAGCCCTACTTCATACTTTTGCTGCATAACTAAAGTAAAAATTTCATTCAATTTGTATTCCCTACCCAAGTGATTGACACCAAACTGCATCTCATATCCATCCACTGTCTTTGCATAAGGACAGATAGCCACACCTGCATTGTTTATAAGGTAGTTTAGTGTCTTCTCAGCTGAAAAACAGAATAGGTTTTTTTTTTACAATTCTTTTTCATATATATATATATATAAAACTTTAATCTGTTTCACCCACTGTTGTAGATAGTCTCAGCAAACAGGCAAATGGATTTTGTGTCAGCCAGATCTAGCTGCCTGACAACCACCTTGGCTCCATTCACCTCCCGCATGATGTCAGACGCAGCCTGCTCTCCTTTCGCCGTGTCTCGGCAAGCCAAAACCACTCGGGCACCTGCAGAAGATAGATTAAGTCTTCTGAACAGTGAAATTCTTTTTGCCTGTACACGTAATATCTCTCTGGTTCTTCTCACCTCTGGCAGCCAGGTCCTTAGCTGTTTCTTTGCCTATTCCAGTGTTTGCCCCTGTTACTATGGCTGTCTTCCCCTCCAGACGCACATCTGATGACCATTTGGGATTGAAAAGAGACCTGAGGAATCAAATATCACATTTAAGGTCTCTATATATATCATCTGATTCCCTATAAACAAGATTTCACAAAAAAAAAAATCTAATAAAAAAGTCAGAAAGGAATATATATAAGGAATATTTATATGTATGTATATATATGGATATGGATAGAAAAAAAAGGTTATAATAGATAGACCAGTTTGATTTTTATGGATTCAGCCACCTAGAAGGTTCAAGGAAAGTAAATATTATTTTCCATCTAAAACATGTGTTCAGTAGTCTTGCTGCAAATACTTATACTATTAAAAAAAGACTGCTATTAGAAGTTACAGAAGTTTCTTACCTGATAGTTTGCATCGTTTTGCGGCTTTCGGGAAGAAGACAGGCAAACGTTCTTCTAAAATGAAAATGGCACTATCATTTGTAGAGGTTTGTTCCAGGGCTCAGGTTCAGCGATCTGGTAGAAAGAGTGAACAAGAATTAGGGAAAAATATGTTTCCCTTCAGAAGGTTTACAGCCTTAATGGGACGTTACTATTTAATACAAATATCTTTCTGTTTGAATGCAGTCAGTGTAACTAATGGATTAAGATGGAATCTGTAATTGGGACTCTGATGAGCAGCCACATGACAAGCGATACTGTGCAGCAACTCAAGGAAATAAACTGAAAGAGATCTTTTAATTTAATTCCTGCATGCTACATCTAATCAATTACTGAGGCAGCTAACTAACTATCAGATGGCTGACTTTTCTTCTAAAGTTTGAGAAAAGTTTTTACTGAGCAGAATTCAGTTACTTCCTTTACATTTTATCTGAAACAGCTATTGATACTTAAAGCTTAACACTTAAATTGAAGTAGTTAGAGACTATATAAACCTTTGCTGTCATCTGAAAGGGAGTCAATGAAATTTAAAACCTGTTTTCACAGGTGGGACCACTGTAATTTCAGCATTTTATTAGTGCAGGCTTTTTGGTGCTTTCCACAGCTCTAAATCTATCACCTGTATTGAATATTCTAGGTAGGCTCTTATCCCGTTTGCTCATTGGGCTGACACCAACAGCTCAGGGTAAGATTACGAGAGTTGAAACCAGAAGAGCAGCAAAGACAGGGATTCCCCTTCTGTGTGCAGTCCTCAATACCGTTAAAATGTTAAAAAGAAAATATTCTGTAGTTAAGTCAGAGTCCAAAGAGGAGCTGTAAGAGCGTCACTTAAACCTTCTCACATTTTGTCCCAAACTTCACTGTATCTTATTAGAATTTTATAACATAGATAAAGTAGAGCATAATTCACAAGTGAAGAAAAATAATTAATGTGCCATTAAAATGTTTTAAAGGTAATTGAGGCAAGTGCCTTCAGATTTATTCTGAATTTGAATGAGCAGGACAGATTGAACGTCAGCCTGTGAGTAATTTAATTTTGGAATAAAAACCTGTAAATGCATAATTCTTCTTTTCTTCAGGTATGGAGATTACTGGAAAAAACATAATCATGGAGATCAAAGAATGAAGCAGACATGTCAGGGATAAAGTTATGGAAATGTTTATGGCAGGTTGGAGAATTAGGGAATTCTACAAACTCTGAATTTGTTTAAGTGGTGATTAAAACTGGTTTATGTGTCTTTTTGTAAACAGGAGCACTGATGTGCTTTTCTTATATTTACTTGTGCACAAAAGTTAAAGAAAAAACTGTTTGTGGTATCATTTGTAAGGATCTGTGTCTAAAACACATTACAAACACATGTTCACGCCCTATAGCTGTTTAGCAATTTTTTTCCACTTTTCCCATCTTAACTAGAAATTACCACTAGGGGGTAGAATAAAGTAAGTTGCTGTACAGTTTTATTTCTTATTTAAAGCTTGGGGGATCATCTTTTGACTGTAAAGGCAAGCTCTGTGGCTGGCCAACCATCTCTCATGTAAACCATGTGAAAGCTAGTCATAACTTCCTGTTTTCTCCAACAACCATAAAAATAAGCAGGGATGAGATGCACACTCGCACACAAACACACACGCATTTATAAACATACCCCTGCTGACCCAAACCAGGCCTAAATGAGCTTTGCCAGCTCCTCTCATGTGGTCTGCCTTTGACGCTAGCTGGTCTGACTGCTTGAGCAGTTTCTCCTCACAGCTGCTCGCCATCCCCTGGCTTGATGAAAGGCTGCCTGTCTGTCAGCGTTGGGACAAACACAAAAGGGACTTTGCCACATATATAATTAGAATTGCTTCATAGGGATTATAGATCATCAGGAGGAGGACTCTTTCATTGTAATTTGTTCATCCTAAAATAGGAAAGTAAACAGAGAGAGACCACAGAATGCAGGATGACTGCCATCTATCAAAGAAAGACAACGATGCAAAAGATATTTGAATTTAAAGCATGTTTAATCAAAAAAGTATTTCATTTATCCATCGCATCAGGGTTGATTGATATGTACAGGATTTGTTAAAAGCTGCATGCTCATGGGGAGGTTGTGATTGATCAGTGTTGGGAACCCAAGCAAGACAAAAGCAAAGCATGCTGTTATTTTCTGTTTTGTTTTTTTTCCTTCAGTTTTTCCAGAAAACAAAAGTAATTTGAGTTGCACAACCAATTGGATGGTTGGCGACAGACAGGATCCCAGTTCAGATACAAGAGATTTGAAACGGCAAAAGACATAAAGGTTGTTCTTCTAGCTTGTTTTTAGCACAAGTTTTAAGAAAATGTCCTCTTTTTTTGTTTGTTTAAATGTATTTATCAGATGTGTTGTTTTTATCAGATGGCAGAACAACAGAAGGTACTTTCATAGAAGATTCATTCAACTTTCATTTGTCTTTAAATAGTTTCCAAAGAAAACTGAGCCGAAAGCATTCATACTCTGATTTAGATTCAAAATAAATATCAATCACCCAATAACTTTGTTTCTGATTGGAAATGAGACAAACATCTTTCAGCAGTTGAGAAAACATTAAGAAAGGTTCAGATCATCACTTTCAAAAGATATCCAACAGCATTTATTTATTTGTTTTTTTTTTTTCTTAAAATGGATCGTCATAAGTAATTTAACCTAGTTTTTATATGAAAAAAATGAGATTGCAGCAATGAAATTCAGTTTGTATGCCTCTTCTAGTATTAGATGGATATATTTTGAAACATGAGCTCAAAGTCTGTAAAACTAAAAGCATCTACAGTCATTATATTATTCTTAAGCGCCATCCATAGATTATATTTCAGATTTTATTCAGGACTCTGGCTAGAATAGCCTAAAACTTAAAAATAGCTTAATACCAGAAAAAAACATTTTGGTCAGTGTAAAATAATGCTTAAAACCTTAACCTGCCAGAGGAATAGATAATTAGCATAACTATATCTACCACCTATGGTCCAAAAGGGGACAAATACAGTTTGGAAACAGGTAAATAACACTAAGCATCTTTTGTAAACACAAAAATTCTAAATGTAAGCAACCGTCTGCTGATATAACATATGGCACATGAATATGAAAAGGTTTGGATTCGCTATTAAATGTCTATGCATTTTGGTGTATTCTAAGTACATATCAAATCCTAAATCCAAATAATTAATATTTATGATCAGAATATTTAGCTGTAACTCAAAAAATGTCTTTCCCTGTAAAGAAACAAAAAGATCTTCCAGTCTATGCAGGTGTTAATGATGAAACCATACAGTTTTTCAGTATAGGGCCACATTGAATATTGAAATGTATAAAAGATACATTAAATAATCTTTAAATAAAGAGCAACAGGATTGACTAAATTTGTTTCATAACAGCCAAAATTGTTTTCTGTTTTTAAAAAAAAGCATGAATAACTGGCCTTTTCAGGGGCCACTAACCTTTACGTTTATGATGGCTCTGATTTTGCCTGCTCTCAGTTGCACCACATGATCAAACCCATCCCCACCAAAAATCAAACGAAGAAAAACTCATACTTCCTTTGCAAACAGATAATGCTTCTTCTGAATATATACAATCATCTTTCACCTCTAAAATGTAGGTTAAAAAAAAAAAAAAACATTAAGAATTTACAAAAAACATTTGGATTTTCTTCATTCAAATTTGCAAAAGAACACAAACCAGTAATAAAATAGCTTATCAAATGCATAGCATTCTTCTCTTAAACATGTATTGCACATCCGGTGCAATAAGGATACAATAAACAACATCTTTGTACAGATTAAAAAAAGCTTCATAACAGATCTTAAAATGTTTTCATGTCGATTAAGTAGCTTCAGTAAGCTTGACTCAGTGAAATGCTTTAGATTTATCATTGTTCAGATACTATGGCTTTTACTATGGCTAAAAGAGTAAAGTTTCAACCATAAAATAAGAAAAACATGAAAATTATTTCCACATGGTGGATGTTTTGTTATGTAAGGAAAGTCTTAAATCATCCAAATGTCAAACTTAGTGAAAAGTCTACAAACGTGGGAATGGAGGATGTAATGTGAGAAATTAGTTATGTATTAACTATTAGTGTCAAGATCCCACTAAAATTTCCATGCAACAAAGAACTCAAAAAATAAAAAGATTCCAACTAAGAAGGCCTGGATATAATATAAGAAATGAAGCATGTAGTATGATTTAAAAAACAATATCAATTAATTTATTTTATCAAATAATAAAACTGTAGAGATGATCACTGTTTGGAAAGCAGCTCTTCATAGTTCACTTTCCCACTATCATTTCTTGTACTGGCAGTGTCTGTTCTCGCAAGGTGTTATGGGAAACGGAGTCCCCTGGAGACCTCAGGCAGCTGTGGAAAAACTGGGCTGTCTCGTTGGCCTCTTCCTGAACGGGGCTCCCGAAGGCGCCGTCCGATCCAACCTCGTCACCGTTCTGAGAGGTCTGGCTCACATAGACGACGATGACATCACCGTTGACGTTCATCACCTGACCGCTGGAGATGAAGGTGGTGTTGCGGCTGCCAGAAACAAGACCTGAACAGAAAATATTAAAAAAAAAACAGTGAGGAGCAAATAAGATGATTGGTTCAATAACAAAACCAAAAACAATTGTGTGAAGTGCTGAAAAAATAGGAATGCTGTGGTTTTATGTAAAATTTTAAACTACTTTCACAACACAAGCCAGACGTTTTTAAGGCAAGGTTGTGACAAAGCGGTTGAGAACACCATTTGTCTCAGTTTATACATTTGTTATTTTTTTTGTTTGCTTAATTTAACTATCCTCATTCTGTAGTTTGCATTCATAAACAAACCTGGGGTAGTATATGAATGCAACTACAGAATAAAGAGATGCTTAAATCAAGCAAACAAGAAAAATAACAAATGTATAAACTGAGACAAATGGTGTTCTCACCCACTTTATCACAAAGGTAAAGAAATGAACCGTTAGTTGCTAATCTTTGGTGACTAAGACACCGAGTCGAGTGGCAAAATGGGTTTAATGACATTGCAAGATGGCCGCAAAGTTCATGTCTATAGATGACTGAGTCATTTCCCTCCAGCCACTCTTTAAAGTCCACAGCATAAATTCCATACACGAACCTCTGTGATTAGGATTTATCTATGATAGGATTTATTTCAAAGGATTAATGTTGCTGCCATTATGATCAATGTCAATTATTAGATAACCAAACGCTGTTTCCCAAGTCATATTTAACCACATTAAGCTCCTGCTTCCCATTTCATCCCACCTACTGTCTGACTTTCTAGGCCGTGACTCACTAGTAGGACCTCATCTGTTCCAACCCACTCAGGCAAAAATCACAGCAAATATCAGGAAGCACATTTTTAGTGGGTATGTTCACACCCATGTATGCTAAACATAAAGGTGCACCTGGATCTATAAAAGTTAAGACGACAAACACTGTAGCTCCCTCTCTCTGTGTCCCGGCCCTTTCCTGGAATACCGGTCTGAGAAAAATGTGTCATTCAACCACAGCTTTCAAAACAAAGCTCGATGGAATGTCACTGGTTTCTTATGATTTATCCTTTCCTAATTCTGCTTATTTTTTGTGTTCTTTTTATTGTTTTTGTTATATATTTTTTTCTTTGCAGGGTTAGCTCTAAACTGAAGCAAAACATCAGAAAATAAACAGAGTCTTTCTCTCAGAAGCGGCTGGATGGCTTCTCCGGACCCCGGCTTTCTGCTCATCAAACGGCTATTAGACATTTCAGGTGTCCCGGTACAAACCCCTGCCTTCCCCTTAACCTTTAAATAGCAGACGCGGGAAGTGGTATTTAAATAGCTGTCATTACTGCATGATGGAAACTCATTTCAGGTCAGCAACCATGTAATTAAAGCGCCGAGTCATCAGTGAGAGTCAAAAAAAAAAAAAAAGAGAGATGTGTTTGTGTGTGTTGGGAGGGTAAGATTATAAAAGTATTACTCAAGCTGTGCACATCTTGCTTCAATTAAAGCTGTGGTCACTTTGCGCAACCCTATGGAACTCTGGGTAAACAGGAGTTTTTGTACTGCAGATCCACACAGACACACACTCACAGACCGACTAAACTGTGTTTGTTCCAATGTGGTTCTGGTGGTTCTCAAACGCATCAAACGCACACATATCTTTTCCCTGCTCTCTGTGTGGTCCCCCACCAATCAGAGTCCGACTATCAGTGCTGGCTTTAATAAAACATGGTTCTTGGAAAAAGCCAGAACTCTTATTGTTATTCTGACACCAAACCGCTGTTTTAAGCTCACTGTAGAATGCTTAAAACAGCGTTAAGCCTGAGCTGACCAGTGAACCTTTCTACTTTAAGTCGCAGGGTATGAAAACATTTCCCTGAATACATACCCGTCAATAACAAACATGTCTGGTTCAGGTGTAATAATCGTCTTTAAAAGAACTTTTTAACGTTTCTATATTACATTTATTTGTATATTTGAAGGCTACTTTAACCCATCCCTGCAAGTTTTGCTCATTTAAACTGAAGATTTTATTAATAACTTTTTACAAACTGTTCTTATTTAGGTTAAGGAAGCTAATAATCCCAATGTTTGTATGTTTTTTTTTCTCACCTATGCAGCAGTTTATTTAGTTTCCATTAAGAAAAAAATGCATATTCTATATATTATACTGTTGTAAATACATAGATATATTTTAACACTCTCCAGATCCTAAAATAAGCAACAACTTAAGCGTCAAGGGAGAACTAAGTGTCCAGCAATAAATTCCATTCATCTTGACTTGAGCTCTGCTGCATCATGGGTAGTGTAGTTTCCCCCCTACAGTGTATTAAAACAATTCTGACTGAAACCCTCAGCCAGAACTAAAACAGATGGATCTAATAATTATACCATCACTGAATTGTTTTGAGAAGAGTAGAAGGAAATAATTTAAATGCCTGGAAGGGAAAATCTCTTTGGTATTTAAGACTTCCAAAGGCCTGATGTGAAAATTAATAGATTTAAGAGTTTTTATTACCCCATAAAAACCACACAAAACAACATTTCTATAAACTGTACCCCAGTGAGACTTGGATTACAAAGAACGCTGCAGAGAAAAAAACTGAATGGATTTGGAAAAGACAACTTTTGACCCTCATGAACTGTAATAAACCAATCATAAAAGCACTGTGTGTTTTTGTTAAATTATAAGTAAGCATATTCATTATCTTTAATAAGTTGCCAGTAATATGTCCCTTTAAGAATTTATTTAGAAATAAATAAATTCAAATCCCTTTATTGTCCCACAAAGGGGAAATCTGCATTTTAACCCATTGCCTTTGGGAGCAGTGGGCTGCCATTGTGTGGCGCCCGGGGAGCATTGTGGGGTTAAAAGTTTGCTCAGGTACCCAGAGTGCAGGCTGTGAGGATCGAACTACAGTAGGTACTTGCAACCTTCTCAGAGCACAAGTGTGCTGCTCTAACCCACTAGGTTCAGACTCTCCTAATTAAATCATCATTTATACTTTTAAATAAATGATACGATATGATAACTGCAAAGAATTGCATGAATGCAACAAGTGGTTGGATATTAACGTTCACAGGCTGCATATGGACAGTTTATTTAGACAATCGGATGGACTGCAGCTTTGAGTTAGACCTGAGGTGTATGCTTAATGGTTGAGATACGTACAGAAAGAGGAGAACGCACTGAAAAATGTTTTTGCAAAAGAGCACAGACCAGTAATAAAATAACTTACCAAATGCATAGCATTCTTCTCTTAAACATGTATTGTGCAGGTGTAGTTAAATGTGTTACAACATGATTTACTTCCTAATAATTTTTTTTAACATGTTAAAATCTGTCTTACTTTTGATACACATCTTTAGTAAACGGTCCTTCAATAAAAATATTCTCTGCCGTATTCCATACCTGAGGTCGGTGTTGGTTCAGCCAGCTCACTATGGAGGCTCTCCGGCGAGCACTCCAGCTCTGAATCCTCCAGAGACAGCTTGTTCTCTCTGCTATCCCCACAGAAAAAGCCCTGGCCCGGCTCCAGCCTGGAGGCTTGTTGAGACTTATCTAGGTACAGTTCTCCAGTAGACGTGGACATCATCACAGCACTGACCAGGGTCATAGCAGAAGCTTCAATATGTTCAGCTGAGTCAGATTCTGTGCTTGCCAGTCTGTATAATTCGTCCTGTTTTACCAGCGACTTGTCAGAAAGCTTGGAAGTGGACAGCGGCGTCCCCTGAGCCTGGGACAACGGCAGGCAGAGTTCAACATGGGGAATGGATGGAAGAACCAGAGAGGAGGTGTTGGTGAGTGGGGGACAAACTGAGACAAGAGATCTAACACATGTCTCACTCATAGATGAGACTATCTTTTCCTGATTAACCTTTTCTTCTGGTATTTGATTTTCACTTGTGTCCTTTTTTCCATTTTCCTCTCCATCCCTCTTTCCTTCGATACCTCCGCAGGAGCACATTCCCAAAGTCCCAGGAATAACAGCCTGGCTACAGTCCTCGTTCTCTCCTACTTCAAGCGGCTCACGAACCAGACTGAGGCACACACAGGAACCTGCCAAAAGCGGAGAAGCATTAATGACCTCCTCTTCTGACAGTTCTTCTGGTTCTCCGGATCCTTGACTCTCAGTTTCCGTCACTGTCTTCTCCTTTACTTTTTCTGCCATTCCTTCGGTGAAAGGCATAGAGATCCTGACACAGGGAACAGAGGCTGGGAATGTGCACAGAGGGTCGATCTCAGGACTGTGGGAAGCTTGGCAGATGAGTTTAGTCATCTCACATGGTGTGCATTTGGAGCCAGTAACTTCTGGTATTCCTCCTGCTGAAGCTCCACTGCGGTAAAGAGGGGCCAAAGTCTCCTAGAATGAAACAGTGATAGAACCAACACAAGTCTGTTAATTCAATTTATAATCTTGAATGTCAGAATTTGGTGTGATCTTTTTTTCATGCTAGAATCGAACATTTGAAAGTGTTTCATGCATTTACATTAAGGCTATTCTCTAACACTCCTAGACTGAATCCAGTGCAAAAAACATAAATGCATTCAGAGTTCTTCCAGCAGTACAGTCTGCAGTTTGCCACAGGAAAAAGCTACAACGTTCGCACAAATCCAGAACTGCAAAACCTATATGTGACAGAAAAGTAAAGCGGCCCAGTAAAGGTTCAGTCATAAATTCCAATGAGAACCATGGCAAAAACTGAACATGCATGTTTACAGAACCTCTTCAGCCATTCAGACTAAGCTTAAGATATGTTGCAAAAGATTCACCAACAAGTTTACTTCTAGATTTGCAAAGACTTGCAGCTCTAACTGAATTAAAATGTGCTTCTACAAAGCATTCTGCTTTACAATTATGTAACACGCAAAATCCCAGCAAAATGCATTAAAGTGTGTGTTTGCAATGAGAGAAAACCTGAATAAGATTGAATATTACTTACCTGTTGGATCCTGCTCCTCTTTAGATTCTGCACACAAGATCGAAGATTCACTGAAATATAGAATATAGTGTTATTCACATGTTTTTCCTTACATGTTAGTCCTCATACAGTATGTTTTCATATGGATTCACACCACAGTAAAAAAAAAAAAGGGTTAAAGTGGTTTAAGATTAATATTAACCTACCGGAAAGTAACTTCAGTTTGTCCTTGTAGCAGAAAAGCAGCAGAATTAGGAGACACAGAACAGTGATCACTGACAGTAATGCAACTACAAACCAGGAAGGTGCTGGACCTGCAACAAACAAATAGGCTTGCTTTCAAAGTCTTTATCTTATAATTTAGTACAAAAAACATGTCTTCATATTTCTTATAAAGAAACAATATGTGACACCTAATCATTTACTACTGCTCAGTGTCTCACCAGTAATAGGAGGTCCACACTCTGCATCAGTCTGATTGCTGCCTGGCCGTGTCTCACTCTTCCCCTCAGCTTTACAGCTAAGAAAAGAAGATATAATAAAAGATCTTTTAATATTTTAGCTAAAGCTATATTTCAAACTAAGGTTATTATCGTTAACTAAAACAAATGAAAAAAAAAAACTAGAATTAAAAAACCTTTTGTTGACTGAAATAAAATAAAAAGTAGACCAAAAGAACTGTAAACTAACTAAAACTTTAATAATTAAACTAATAAAAACTAATGGAATTTTAAGACAGAGCGTGCTTCGTTTTGTTTTTATCATAATGCATTAATAAAGGCCTAGTTTGTGGTCACGGTTTTTGCTTAGTTTTTTCACTGTAGCTTATTACAACAGCAGATTGCAGAGATGTATCCCTTATCTGGATTTTATTTTGGTTTTTGTTGGTCTTGTCCCCAGTATGTAAGTTGCATCACATAAAATACTAAAACTTTAACTGAAGTTAATAAAATCCAACTGAAACTAAACATTTTCAATGAATACAAACTAAAATAAACTAGGTAACAACTACAAATAACAAATTAAAGCTAAAACAGAACTGAAAATCAAAAGTCAAATCTAAATCAAAATAAAAACTAGTAGAAATTTCAAATTGATCTAAACCCTGTTTCTCAAACTTTGTAATAGATTTATTACATTTTCAAATATGCATAATACATTTGACAAATAAGATTTCAGTCATGTAAATATATATAAAAAGGCATCTGGAGCATAGTTTCTATACATATAAGTCTACAGGGGTACTGTGATCATTTTTCAAGATTAGATGTAGAAAATGTCACATAGAGGGGAAAAGGTCTACATTAAACTTCTTCAGTGAAATATGTTAGAAACCTTAGATTTTTCAACAAATGGAACACCTGATACCTTTTATTATGTACTTTTCTCTTCTAAGAAACAAAGATAACATCAAAAAGAAGTAATGTTCTACAAAATAAATACAGAAGACAAAAAGAACTGAAGCCAAAATACAGGAATGATTTCTGCCATCAAGAGCTTGGGGTGACAATTGCTGCGATGGGCAAGAAAATGCGTGGCCTGTTACTATTAAAGCCTCTCTATCATCCTTCCTTCCCCAAATCTCCCTCTCTTCTTACTTCTCATCCCTCACTTTTTTACCAAACAAGTTGGAAATGACTCCACTTTCTGATCTGCAAGCTGCAAGCGTTAAAATTTGGCAGAATCCAAATTTAATCCCATTTATTATGACAAGAGGTCCATAACAATATGGTACCAGGAACTATTTATCATATTCACATGGTTCACACAAACAGTTATATCTAAAATGTTATCCTCGTGGCAGCCAGTTTACTGTTTAACCGATCTAACAGAACCTTGCAAACAAGATTATTGTCACGAGAATTCTAAATGTACAGACCCCCCAAAATACATCTTGCTGGAAGCCAGCAGATGTGTCAGTAATGCAGTAAGGCCTCATTACTGAAAAGTTTCAGGGTGATGAAATGCACTGTTCACTTCCTGTTTGGATTAACCGAGTGTGCAGCTGTTCAGAGGATCTCCATCTGAAGTTAAGTTATTTTCTCTGTGATATCTCTGTATCTAAGTAACTCTAACTGACTACTTTAAAACATAGCACCTTCTGCTGCACTTTTCTACTGAGCACTTGTCAGTTTCACACGGTTTTATTTCTGATAGCAAGGAGTAGCTAGCCTAGGCTAGCGCTAGCTTAGCATTGCTATGGCTTCTCTCTCTCCCTCCCTTGACTCTTTTCCAACTCTTCCTTCTTCCTCTCCTCTCTCCTGCTCTCTGTGTCAGATGTTCAGTTATTCCTCTGCCTCCTTTAGTGATAATGGGATGTGTAATAAGTGTAGTATTTTTGTAGCTTTGGAGGCGAGGGTGTCAGAGTTAGAATCCAGGCTTCAGGCTGTTGAACATCCAGGAGTTAAAGTAGGCCCCCCACGTAGCTGTCCTCCAAAAGTGCCTGAGCAGCCAGGCGATTGGGTAACTGTACGCAGAAAGCGTAGTCGTGGATCTCTGCCCACTGGTCACCACCAACGCGTTCACGTTTCTAACCGGTTTTCCCCACTCAGTGACACACCCACTGAGAAGCCCACTCTGGTGATTGGCAGCTCCATAGTCAGAAACGTGGCATTAGAGACACCAGGGACCATAGTCAAATGTTTGCCGGGGGCCAGAACGGGCGACATCAAATCCTACCTGAAACTACTGGCTAAGGATAAGGTTAAATACAGTAAGATTGTTATTCACGCTGGTGGTAATGACACCCGGTTACGCCGATCGGAGGTCACTAAAATTAGTGTTGCTTCGGTGTGTAAGTTTGCCAAAAAAATGTCGGACTCCGTAATTTTCTCTGGTCCCCTCCCTGATCTGACCAGTGATGACATGTTTAGCCGCATGTCGTCATTCAACCGCTGGTTGTCTAGGTGGTGTCCTGAAAACAACGTGGGCTACATTAATAATTGGCAATCCTTTTGGGGAAAGCCTGGTCTGATTCGGAGAGACGGCATCCATCCCACTTTGGATGGTGCAGCTCTTCTTTCTAGGAATCTGGCCACATTTATTAGTCCTCCAAAACCCTGACCACCCAGGGTGCAGACCAGGAAGCAGAGTTGTAGTTTAACACACATCTCTGCAGCTTCTCTACTGTTACCCACTCTTTACTCCATCCAGACAGTGTCTTGCCCACGACCAAAATCTAATAAATTAGCAAAGATTCCCAAAGGAGTAAATCATGATAATCTAATTAAAATCAAAATAACTCCAATTGGGGAAAAAGTTAAAACAATTAAATGCGGTCTGTTTAACATAAGATCGCTTTCCTCTAAAAGTCTACTAGTTAATGACTTGATTTGTGATAATCACATTGACTTGTTTTGCCTTACAGAAACCTGGCTGCAGCAAGAGGATTATGTGAGCATAAATGAGGCAACTCCTTCAAGCTATTTAAATTTTCACATCCCCAGAAGTTCTGGGCGAGGAGGAGGAGTAGCAACAATCTTCCAGTCTGACTTACTGATTACTCCCAAAACAATTAATACCTACAACTCTTTTGAACATTTAACCCTTAATTTCCCTGATCCAAATTTCAAGGCAAGAAAACCTCTTCTTTTTGTAACTTTGTATCGTCCACCAGGTCCTTACTCTGAATTTTTAGATGAGTTTTCAGAGTTCCTTTCCGATTTGGTATTAAATACTGACAGGGTCATCATAGTGGGAGATTTTAACATCCATGCTGACATTGAAGGCGATAGCTTAAGAGCAGCCTTTAATGCTATCTTAGACACTGTTGGCTTTGTTCAAAATGTGAATAGTCCCACGCATTCTCATCTTCATACTTTGGATCTTGTGCTGACATACGGCATAGAATGTGAAGAAATAACAGTATTTCCTCACAACCCTGTCCTCTCTGACCACTTTCTAATAACCTTCAGGATTACTTTAACAGAGTTCTCCTCCCCCAAAAGAAGGTTCAATTTTAGTAGATCTTTATCAGATAGTGCAGTTAAAAATTTTAAAGAATCTGCTTCACTTTCTCTCTCCTCTGTGTCACTGAGCAGTGCTGCAGAGTGCAAAAGCTTAGCTTATTCCCCTTCACAGGTTGATGATTTTGTTGATGGGGTTGCTAGTTCTCTGCGTATTGCCTTAGACAACGCAGCTCCTTCGAAAATGAAAACCGTTAAAAATAGAAAGCTTGCTCCTTGGTTTAATGCAGAGCTGCGTACTTTGAAGCAAAATGCTAGGAAACTGGAGAGAAAATATCGCTCCACAGGCCTGCGAGAGTCCTTCCTAGTCTGGAAAAATGGTTTACTGCTGTATAAGAGGACCCTTTGTAAAGCAAGAGCAGCATACTTCTCCTCATTAATAGAGGAGAATAAGAATAATCCTAGATTTCTTTTTAATACAGTTGCCAAACTCACCCAGAGCCATAGCTCTGTTGAACCGTCCATTCCACCTGCTCTTAGCAGCAATGATTTTATGGGATTCTTTATAAATAAGATTGATCTTATTAAAAATAAGATCATAAGCACTCCTCTATCCGCGATTGTACCTGAGGTAGTCATGGAATCTGAACCGGGTTTAGACTGCTTTGATCCAGTTGAACTCTCTGAATTAGCAAAATTATTGTCTTCATCTAAGCCTTCAACTTGTATGTTGGATCCAGTTCCAACCAGGTTATTTAAGGAGGTATTCCCTTTGATCTCCTCCTCCATTTTAGATGTGATTAATCTATCTCTGTTACAGGGATATGTACCTAAAGCTTTTAAGGTTGCTGTAATTAAACCTCTGCTTAAGAAACCGTCTCTTGACCCAGATGACTTGGTCAATTATAGACCTATATCCAATCTTCCTTTCTTATCCAAAATTCTTGAGAAAGTAGTTACCAAACAAGTTTGCGATCACTTACACCATAATGAACTTTTTGAAGAGTTTCAGTCTGGCTTTAGAGCTCATCATAGCACTGAAACAGCTCTGGTGAAAGTCACTAATGATATTCTCATGGCCTCAGATAATGGACTTGTATCTGTGCTCGTCCTGTTGGATCTTAGTGCTGCATTTGATACAGTTGACCATAATATTCTTTTAGAAAGACTTGAATATTTTGTTGGAATTAAAGGAACAGCACTAGACTGGTTTAAATCTTATCTATCTGATCGAATTCAGTTTGTTCATGTTAATGATAGATCTTCAACACGCTCAAAGGTTACCTGTGGAGTACCACAGGGATCAGTGCTAGGACCAATTCTCTTTACTTTATACATGCTCCCAATTGGTAGAATTATTAGACAGCATGGGATTAATTTCCACTGTTATGCTGATGATACCCAGCTATATCTGTCTATAAATCCAGATGAAGCTAACCCATTACATAGATTACAGGCATGTCTTGAAGACATAAAAACCTGGATGACTCTTAACTTTCTGCTTCTGAATGCAGATAAAACAGAAGTTATAGTCTTTGGACCAGAGTCTCTGAAAAAGAAACTGATTAGCCAGTCACTTCATTTGGATGGGATTAAACTGATTTCAGATAATAAAGTAAAAAATCTTGGTGTTATTTTTGATCAGGACCTGTCATTTAAATCCCATATCAAAGAGGTTTCTAGAATTTCCTTCTTTCATCTGAGGAACATTGCAAAAATTAGAAATATCCTGTCCAGGGGTGATGCTGAGAAACTAGTCCATGCATTTGTTACTTCAAGGCTGGACTATTGTAATTCTTTACTATCAGGAAGTCCACAAACTGTAGTTAAAAGCCTTCAGCTGATCCAAAATGCTGCAGCCAGGGTTCTGATGAAAATTAAAAAGAGAGATCATATCTCGCCTATCCTGGCTTCTCTTCATTGGCTTCCTGTTAAATCAAGAATAGAATTTAAAATCCTCCTTCTCACATATAAAGCCTTAAATGGCCAAGCACCATCTTATATCAGAGATCTGATTGTTCCTTATGTTCCTAACAGAGCACTTCGCTCTCAATCTGCAGGTTTACTAGTGGTTCCTAGAATTTCTAAAAGTAGAATGGGAGGCAGATCTTTTAGTTATCAGGCTCCTCTCCTGTGGAACCAACTACCAGTTTTAGTCCGTGAGGCAGACACCCTGTCTACTTTTAAGGCTAGGCTTAAAACTTTCCTTTTTGATAAAGCTTATAGTTAGGGTGGCTCAGGTTATCCTGAGCTATCTCTATAGTTATGCTGCTATAGGCTTAGACTTTTGGAGGACATAGGGACCCCCATTTCATCATTCTGCTTCATTCTCTCTCTGTTCTCCTATTCTGCAGAATCTGTTAGTTCAATCTCTAACCTTCTGCTCTCTCTGCTTTTCCTCAGAGTAGCTTTGCCTCGTCTGTTCCTGTTTGGCTGTGACGTCATCCTGGAAAGAAACATCAGCTGTGCTGCTTCCATCAACACCCTTGTTTATAGATGTTGGAGATCGGCCTGTTTTCCAGTGTGGTCCTGTTTCTCTGGCCGTGACTGAGTGGATGTGCTCTCTTCGTCCTCTGGCATGGGAGCTGCCTTGGAGCTCGTCTGCCTGGCTGTGTGTTTCCTGGACGGGGCCGCCTTTTACAGCTGCTTTTTGTATCTCTGTTTCTGTCTCCTTGAACCCCAGTCGGCCTCAGCAGATGGCCGCTCACACTGAGCCTGGTTCTGCTGGAGGTTTCTTCCTGTTAAAAGGGAGTTTTTCCTCTCCACTGTCGCTACAAGCATGCTTAGTGTGGGGGATTGTATTTGAGTCAATGAGTCAATGCAATCAACTGGTTTTCCTTAGATAGAAAACTTTGTATCAATTTGACTGTATGATCTGGTTGAACTGTAAAGTGCCTTGAGATGACATGTGTTGTGAATTTGGCGCTATATAAATAAACTGAACTGAACTGAACTGTTGTCATAGACATCAGTGCATTTCATCACTGTTTTAGCTTACAGAAGCTAAAACTGGCTCCTTGTATTTTTTATTGAAAAATTAGCAAAAGGCAATTTTTGCGTCTTTGGATGGGAACATGTATGTACGCTCCTACCGAATGGATTTGGTAAGAGTTTGATTTATTAGTTAACTTGAAACAAACAATCAATAATCAATAATGTTAAATGTCTCACCTACTACTGCTGCTGTGATGGGCTAAAAAAACTCAACATGGGAGGCAGATAACAAACGAGCTTGAAGAATTATACTGAATGTCCCTCCCTTTTGTGAACAGTTTCTACATGAGGCTTTCCAGATCAACTCAATTTGAATTCTACATTCTTGCCTAATTCTTTCTTATGCCAGACTAACAGAACGGATGTAATGTGGTTGAATTATGCTTCATTGTTTTAATATTAATTATATAGAGCTGTCAGCTATGTTCTCTCTAATGTTCCATGTATCTGGGCTCACCCTGTGTTCACTGAGGACCACTGTGAGCAACATCAGATGTGCACGCTGAGGCCACACACCAATATTAAACTTGTTCTAAACCCAGGATCATAACTAGTTACATTGTTTATTAAAATAATAACAGATTACTGCAGCTATTTCTATTAGTTCACTATTAATTTAGTGATTTGCTTAAAGTTAAAAAAACACAAACTTGTTGTTCATGAGGTGTGTAGTAATGCTATATGTAAGAGACCTGCCCTGATAGAAAGGACCGTTCAGACATAACTTTTTGTTCATGTTAAAACATTAACATTTTTTTTAAATATTTTTTATTTTTTCTATTTCTTATTTTAACATTAACATTTTGCACAATATTATGTACTGTAGCTTGTAAAACTGTATAAATTCCTGTAACTGTCTGTAGATTTTCAATGTTATGGAAGCCTAGACTGCTAAACAATTTTGGCTGCCACCATATATTCTTATATTTATGCAGAGCAATGTTTGATGCACTGAATAACTTAATAAAGACATTTGCTGAACACTGAAGTTTTATTAAATATATTAATTAATTACTTTTTATTATAAAACAAGATTTGATAGTGATATTTGAAACTTGGATTGAAATTGTGTGCAAGAACAGCTGATTTATTTAATACAACAGGTTTGGACATCCAGCCTCCAGCAGATTGGGGTCATTTGTCACAGTGGTCATAAAGACAAGATGCTATGAGAGCCAAAAACGACACAATAATAGGATGAATGTATTTCCCATTTATTTCCTTTTTAACATATTTGATTTACTATGATAAGAAAAAATAAGAGTTCTCCATTTTTTTTATATTATGTCATGGAATTTGGGGAAAAAAGATTGTTATTTCTCATATTTATATTTTTTGGTTTTAAGTTGAGAGACGAATGATACAAGGATTTAAAACGATACAGAAAAGAATGTTATTGATCTAACTGATTTACAGTTTATGGGTTTTATTTTATGTGCTGCATAGATTGTCTTGTGAGTTGAGAATGAGTGAGAAGTGTGCAGCTTAGAGAAAACTGGCTGTAAGTGACTTTTTTCATAGCTTTACTTTTCATAACTTTTATTGTGCTTGCTGAAGGGAAATATGCTAACAATCCTTATAGATAATATATTTTATTCATTTTGCTCTTAGGTTGACTCTACTGCTGATGGGGCGGGTTAAATTACATCTCTAATTAAGGACAAAATTAGAAACAAATTTTTGTTAAATGAATGGTTTTAAGAGGCTTTTGGAGAAAAAAAATTATTTTATTGACATAAAATGATAGTGGGGGAGCAAGACTCTTGGGCAGAGGTAGGTTGCTCCCACCACCACCACCCCTCGACGCCCCCGTTGCCTCCCTGCACATTTACCCTCAAATTTCAGAAACAATATATATCATAAGTTAGTCTGGTTGCATAAAAAAGGTTCTGCTCACAAAGCAAACAAAGAGAAAATATCCTAGATTCTAAGCTTGAATCTGAAACACCTGGATACATCTCTAATATAGATCTGGAGAGGACTTGATCAACATTTATCTTATGGGATAAGAGAACAACACAAGTGCATTTAACCACCATTTTTCCTTACTTTGTCCACTTTTTGCATTCTTCCTTATCCTTCTCAACAGAGTAGAAGCCCTTCTTGCATTCAACACAGATCTTCCTTCCATTTTTTGAAGCTGAATAAGGAAGAAAATAGGCACAAACACCCTTAACAGCGATGTTCAATCATCCATACTAGTTTGACATGCATGAATGTTTTTTTTTCTGTTAGGCTGTCTCACCAGTATCTTCCTCAAGTCCATAACCAGGACCGCAGGTCGGAATCATCTCACAGAACTCGCAGTTGATAAGAGAACACTGAAAACCAGGTCGGCATAGACATTGCTCCTCCCTCGTCAAGTCTTCACTCTGCTCATTTCTTCTCATAAATCCCTTACCTAGGGCGTAATGAACAAGTTAGTAAAGACAGAGGATTTCCCTATTTGGAGAAAAGCTGCAGGTACTGACCTGTATCACAGAACTTTTTTTTGATGCAGTTACTGCTCCCCGTCCAGCCAGGCTGATAGGTACCATGGCTGCAGTTAGTACATAGAGTGGCCCGGGATTCATTGCAGGAAGAAAGCACACGCTGACCTACAAAAAAGGCAATCAGAGAGATAGAGAAACGTAAAACAACAAGTACATGACTACAGTAGGCACTTAAAAAGTGCAAGAGGAAAAGCAGACAGACATGCGTCAAATCCACAAATTTAGATCCTCTTTCCTCTTCTTAAGAAGTAGCTACTTTTAGCATCAAAATCCAACTATAACCTGTATGTGACTGGTTTTGGGAACAATTGTTGGGGCTATTTCCAGCCAAATAGTATACTTTTAAACATCCTTCCTCTTTTGAAATGACTTTGGAAATAAAAGAAGCATTTTTTTTTTTACTTCCTGTTGATTCCATTGAGAAAAGCAGACAGAGTATTCTCAGCATGCTTGTGTTTTACTTCCACATGCATGTGTGTGCGTGTGCACGTGCTTATTGTTACCTGGTGGACACTTTTTACAGCACGTGGAGCCATTTACGTAGTAATTGTCCTTGCAAGAGTCTGATTTTGAGAGTCCGTCCTGAAAAAAAAGATAAGATTAGCTCACTGCACTTGGAAAGGGAGGTTTGTGTTTGCAAACCTGCTCCACTTTTATTTCAATTTTGTAATATGAAAAACATTGTAAGAGATAGCTCTGGGAGGATTGTTGAAATATTTCACCCTCAAAAGAAAATCTGATCAGAACAAATTTTAACCTCTTAAAAAGCAAATAAAGGTCTAATCACACACTGATAAATCTGCTAAAGTGCACTGCTTAGTCTAAAACTTACATACAGTACACACACCCTCGCGTCTTACTCTGTGGTTTGCAAACTCCTAACCACACTGCTGAATTAGAGAATCTGGCTGTTATGACAGAGGTGAAGCCAAAGCCACAAACTCTATATATATAAAGGTGGACAAACAAGCCAGAGGCCTGATTGCTCTTTGAACTGCGGCCAACTGTCTTCAGGTTCGCCTTCCGCACTTTTTTATTTATATTTCCCCTTAAAAAAGCAGGTATTTGTCCTGTGGTTTGCACTGTAAATAAATGCTGTACAGAGCTTTCACTTTGCCCACAGGTAACATAAAGAGATACTTCTTCAAGTTGTCTGTTCTGTCTACAGCTTTGTTGACATTACATTGCAGTGACGGTAGAGGATGGTTGATAAGGATACCAATCTTCCGACTCTGTAAATAGGTATTTTTAGGCGGGAATCATATACTAACCACTAAAAGATTTTAATTTTCCTAAAGAATAACATTTTTTTTACTCTTTTTTTTGATAGATCAATCAAACCATTATCATTTCTATCCATTATTTTCTCCTGGCAGTGTTCTTCAGTCATGCAACGAAACATTAGAGTACCTTTAATTCAATTCAATTTAATTCAGTTTATTTATATAGCGTTTTAAAGTTCAACTAGATCATACAGCCAAATTAATTATTAATTAAAGTTTAAATTAATTAAAGTTTAGAGTAGATAATGGCAGGAAAATGTATTCTTCTTTCCCTACCTTTTTTTTATTTTGTCACGCAAAAATGTTTCAAGCCATCTAATAAATTCTAATATCCGTCAAATATAACCTAAGTAAATAAAGATGCAGATTTGAAATGGTAATTATGTTTATTAAGTGGTTTAAGATCATAACACAGCAGTTTGATTAAACGTATTGTTTATGCCGCTTCAAAACTTTAATTTCTTCAGTCATTAAGGCTTCAATGTTATGGTTTCTTTTAGATTCATCATTCTGAAGTAAACAATATGAACCAATTTCCTATTATTTTCTTCCAGGGTTTTCATGTTAAAAACAGAATATATGGCTGCCTTAATTATTAAAAGTTGTTTAGGTGCAAAATTCCCAAACCATTACAACACCACCACCATGTGTGGACAATCTAAAGCTTCTATTATCTTAAAACCTGGTTAAGGAAGGTTCTCTTGCAGAGCCATAATACATATTTTTATACAGAGATAATTTTTTATGTGCTTAACATTAAAAAACAATCACAGTGTCTGACAATCAGTCGATATTCTTACGATAATATAAAAACTTTGCATTGTCAACCAATTGTTCTCACCACATCTCTTCGTTGAGCATTGTTTAGATGTCTGCCTGTGCAGCCTCAGACGGCAGCTCAACAACAGCATGTTTTAACTACCTCCTCTCAGACACACACACAGCAGCCAGCCTTTGTTTTATATCCTAACCAAAAGGATAATGATGCACGGCACAAAATAGCTGACACCACAGGGCTAATAAGGACCATGTGCTGCAGCAAACTGAACTGTTCTATCTATACATACATCCATCCATCCAACATCCATCCATCCAACATCCATCCATCCAACATCCATCCTTCCTTCCTTCCTTCCTTCCTTCCTTCCTTCCTTCCTTCCTTCCTTCCTTCCTTCCTTCCTTCCTTCCTTCCTTCCTTCCTTCCTTCCTTCCTTCCTTCCTTCCATCCATGGTCCTTCCTTCCTTCCTTCCTTCCTTCCTTCCATCCATCCATCCATCCATCCATCCATCCATCCATCCATCCATCCATCCATCCATCCATCCATGGTCCTTCCTTCCTTCCTTCCTTCCTTCCTTCCTTCCTTCCTTCCTTCCTTCCTTCCTTCCTTCCTTCCTTCCTTCCTTCCTTCCTTCCTTCCATCCATGGTCCTTCCTTCCTTCCTTCCTTCCTTCCTTCCATCCATCCATCCATCCATCCATCCATCCATCCATCCATCCATCCATCCATCCATCCATCCATCCATCCATCCATCATCTTGTTCACAATGCAAAGGAAGCGAGATTGTGGGAACATTGTTTTTGTTAGTTCCTTATGTAAATACGGGGTCTCAGTTATGTGTGGTAATTCTTTTTGACTAGCTAAATATATATATGTAAAAGAAAAACAGCTGATCCACCCTATATGATTATAGGTTGCCATAATGGTGAAAATGGAATCTCTGACCACAAAGCTAACTTTATTTGTAGTGCATGCTCAAATCTATCATTACAAATGCATACTTTTCTAAAAAAAAAAAAAAAATATGGGAAGAGTGCAAGGGGAAAATAGTCAAAAGGAGGGAGAGGGTAATCCTACATAAAGTGTGTGTAGGGGGGAAAAAAGAGGCATTCAGAGTTCCTTCTCCACTGTCACTTTTTGTAAAAAAAAACATGTCCCTCATATTTTTCCAGACTAGTTTGTTTATCTGATGAAACATCTTTCACCACTAGTGTGATCTCTGAAAACACAGTTGTGACTAAGGGTGCTATTCATTTACCTCTGGAGGACGGGAGAATTTGCATAACGGTCGTAGCAGCTTACGAGGCCTGGAGCCAGGAGACGCACGCTTTGACTTTTTAGGACTCTGTGTGTAATACTGATCTGAGATAAGGCGCCATAAAGGCATTATTGCTCAACAGCTGAATCCAAGTGTAGTGATTAGACCTATGATTAAACTGCATTTCAAACCAATAATGTGGGTATTATTAAGCAAAACAACCATTTATAAACTAAAAGTAGAGAAAGAATAAAATGAGAAAATAATTAATCACAGAAAAAAAAGCAATTCATAAAGTACAAAGAAAACTTAAGCAACAGACCAAAAAACACACCAGTTCCAAAGACTCTCTAATCCTCCCTAAAGCTTTTGTTTTAAAAATGACAATAGTTCATTCTAGGCATGCCAAGAACACATAAAATTCTTTCCTTACAAAAAGCTTCCACTGTCATTGCTAATCTTCCTTCATGCTGTCCATTTAAATGGAAAAGACAATGCTCCAGTTCCCTTCCATCATTTCAAATTTGCAGATGCAGGTTAAAGGCAACACTGATCGTCTCAGGATGTCTTAGACATGGATCTAAATACTCTAATTGAAGTGGACGGACAAATGCACCGGTAACAGGTTGAATAGTCAGAAAAAAGTTTGTGTGAAAATGGTTCATGGTTCAATCAGTCAGCAAAGAAAAGGTGACACTTTGCTCTGATGTGCCTCAAGAGAGAAGCTTGGCAGACAGACTAGCAGATTACTGGTACAAACAGCGGCTTTTTTACAAAAAAAAAAGTGCTTTATCAGCTATTATTGAAGGGAAGCGGGTGAACAATTCCACTAAAATGCAGCAATTCCCTGATTTATTGTTGTTTTTGTTTTTTTTTAATCTAAAACTCAGAACATCTTGAAGTCATTGCCCATTGCCCAATATCTCACAGACAGCTTGAGATGAATTTGGAATGAACTTGGTAGAAGCGGTTGAAAACCTAGGACATGAAGGGGAATTCTAAGGGGATATTGTGAGCCAGTAATGGCAAGACCACTATGAGAACAAACAGGAGCCAAAAGGTTTGCAGTGTCACTTTAAAGCACTGATGGAAAATATTTCTCCCCTTCCCCATTCTGACTCCTTTTCCAGGCATTCCACTTGATGTTTGATGATTTCACAGCTTTTGAAAACCATTTTTTAAATTCTCCTTCTTGTGCCATAACGCTATGAGTCCCTGTATCGGAAAGATGTCAGTGCCAGCTCAGACTTGTTCTCTTTCGACACTTTTTGGAACAGAAGTATTAAATAAAAAAAAGAAAGAAAGAAAGGGCAAGCATCTGTTCCAGTCAGAGCATTTTGAAGTTGCCTTACCGTAAAAAAGGCAGTGATAGACTTATGGTGCCCAGCAGTCCCACCACTACAACCACATCTTACAAACCTCTGCACCTGGACAGTGTTAGTTGCTTGGACTACAAAAAGTGGAAAACATGCTTACCTTTCTTCTTAAAACATTTATTTTATTTTATTTTCTGAAGGAAAACATAAAAAAGTGTTTAAAGTATGGTTAAAAAAAACTCTGGTTTTGCTTTGGTGGGCAGAAATCCATAATGTAACCAACAAACTCTAATCAAAAATAAAGTGAGAGAGAGTGACATCTTATATGCATTTTAGTCTTGATGACCCATCTGGTGAATAAACAACAATATGTTGCCAGAGACGTTTTTTTTTTGTTGTTGTTGTTATATGGTGGGTAGAATAGGAGCAAATCCAAAAGAAATGTTTTAAAGTTGTCTGTGCGTAAACAGTGGGTGGAGGGGTTTTTCATGCAAATAGTTCAATCATTTAATAATGTGGCACAGCAAGTCCAGCATAAACTCTAAGCAGCGCGTATTTTGAAACGATTAAGAAGTTTTAGGTGTGAAATAAAAAACTTATAACCCAGATTCATGATGCGCAAAACGGCGCATTTGCTTAGATGAATGGGCTGGATCCTATTAAACCAACTTTAAAAAGAGAAGTTATTTTACCTGTGCGGAAAGGGTGACGAGAAAACACGTTATCCAGCCGCGGAAAATCCACCTCATCTTCTTAGGTTTGGAGTTGCGTCTGCGTTTTTACGCACAGCCCAGAAATCAGTTCACCCCCAAACCCCCTTCTCCAGGTGAGCTCAATGCAAATCACTTCTTTTTGCTGGTTTAGTCAGAGGCTGGAAAAGATTTGTTTTTGCTCAGACTGTCAGGTCATTCTTGCTCCTTTAATTCCCGTTAAGCAACGGCAGCTCCCGCAGGCCCACTCATCTTCCCTCGGCTTCCATTCACAATGTGTGTGTGAAGAGTGTGCATGCGGGAACTTGTAAAAGCTGCAGGACTAGTGGGAAGGAGCGAAGGAAGGAAACTCCTCCCACTCCAATAAATGTAAATGCAGAGCCTTGCCAAAATATTGCAATGATGCTCTCATCTTTGTTTATGAGGTAAACAGAGGCGGAGTAAGGCAATGGAGACAGGTGGCTAATTTGGGATTTACTGTAGAACCTAAAGAGGTTGCTTCTTTGCCCTTGAATACATTTTTTGAGAGATATTTCATATGCTGCACAAATTGCTTTCTACTTCAGTTTGCATTAAGTTACCGTTTGCTTCCAAGAAGCTGAATTTGGGGTAAAATTATGTGTACCACTTTAGCACAAATTGTCAACAAAAGGTGTTGAGCACTGCTCAATGAGCACTAAATATTCCATACAAAACCAATCCAAGCATTGCAAGTAAATAAAAACATGTTTTTCTTTCAAAACAATTTTATGAGAATTATTTTGCTAAAGCCTCTGTTTTAAATTGAAAATGCTTCAAGTAAAGGAACACCAGGTTACTTTATAATAAAAGCCTCCGAGGAGAATCCAATTAAGCCGGAAAATAAAAGAAACTTTTCTAAGCAAAAGAATGCAAAGAATGACCCTAGTTTGGGTCAAACTAGAAACATTGCTCTCAAGTCCTCCTTTTTTTTTTTTTGCTGAAATTTGAAATGTGTCATTATTATAGCTGAACTTTACTATATAATGGACATGACCGTATTTATGTAAATTAAGTGACCAAGTCAACCATGGAAAGCATGTGTCTGGATGGCAGAGTACTGTGCATCTATTTCTTTATTTGTTTTTACTGTAATATTTTACCTCATATAGTCAGTGATGATCTATATTTAACTGCTTACTGTACTGTCACTTATACATTTCTGAGATGGCCTGTCATTGGATGATAAGCTTTTTTTCCCACATTAAAACTTGGTCTCTGGTAATGAAAGAATTTTATCATTTAAAAAGGTTTAAAAAGCTTTTAGCGGTCTTGCTAATTTCCTTATATAACTGTATGTTAAAGGAGCTGAGCAGCTCCTTTAGTGAAAGACTTTCACCCTGTTTGTAAAAAGGAGAGCTACTGCAGGTCATTCATCCCTGCTGCAAACACACTCTACAATGCGACACTATAACTTGTGCAATATATGATGTGCAATTAACTATTTGATATCCTGTGCAATAACGTGTTTCTCTATATTTGACACCCAGTGCAATAACTATATATATATAAATATAAATATCCATCTATATAAAAACTCATGTAAATGCTCTGTGCAATAATCCTGTATAATGATCCTACAATAAAGGATTAATAATAATAAAAAAGGAAAGCTGTCATATGTGGTTGCACTGTACATACTTTATATATCCCATGCACTTTTTTCTTCCTTCTGCACATTCTTCTTTGACTATTTGAGCTGAACTAGTAAATTTCTCCACTGTGAGATCAATAAAGTCAATCAATTAGTCTGAGATGGAAAAATCCTCAATTTCAAAGATCCCATCATATATTTTATGCAGTATTCTAAAATCCAGATGAATTTATTTCATAGGTTAGGTTTACAGGAACAAAGTTCAGACATTATTTATTTAATTTCTTCATCCCTCTTAGCGACTCTTTATATTTCCAAACTTAGAAAAGTTATCTTCCCTGAATGATGGAACAGACTCTTCATGAACCAGCTTCAGCTTTATGAGTCCATGAATTGCCTTCAGGAAATAACTTAACCGCTCTGTTTACAAGACAGGTGTCCACATGCAAAAGTGTGGGGTGGACACTGGACACTCCCACCCACAAGCCTGAGTGGATTGTTCCCTGGTCACCCATCAAATGACGCAAGATGTTACCATGGTTTACGGAAAAAAACAACACAACCCTGATGCAAAATCCCAAACTAACTGCAAAGCATCTTACATGGTCACATGACAAGTCCTATAATCGATGGTCAGGGGAGCTAAATGATGACCTCACACACACCAGAGCTATAGTAGGCATGTTGCCTCCCAACATGTGTGGTCAGATTTTATTTTGCATTTTAAGCTTGTCATCATGGGATCTGAGAGGAACTGTTCAAAAAATGTTCCTGGAGTGTGGGTTTAAGTTTTTATCATCTCTATGCTGTACAAAGGCATTTTTTATATAGTTAAGAGATTGCCTCCAGGAAATACTGGTGTTGTTCCCTATTCCCAGGAAAAAAAACAGCACTGTTTTTATTTCCTTGTGAATTTGCATGGCTCAGCCCACCTTGGCATGAGAAGAGATGGAAGATTGGAGAAAGTAGGGAACATGATCCTTTCAAGTTGACAGTTATGCAAATCTAAACTCAAACTGTACATTCTTGGACGACTTGGTCGACATTGCACAATGTATTTTTTTTGTATACTGAAAGTCAGGAAATACTACAAAACCAAAACTCTAAAAAAAAGTGATTGGTTTAGATCGTTTTCACAAATATATTGAGGTTTTTGTTTTCTTTTTTATCAGAACCGGTTACCTACATTTACTAATATTTAGTCAAGTTTCCTAATTCTTTTGGAGCTTAGTGGTAAGAAGAAGAACATTGAGAACTGAAATGTTGCCAGTAAAGTTAATGGTCTGTGTTCCAGTAAAGACTTGCTGAAAGAAGCTGTTTTGCGGTAAGTCTTTTTGAGCTTCAGCAGCAGCAATTAAAATTTCACTCTTGGCAATCACAAACCTCAGGCCGAATTCAAGTGTACTGCAAAAAAAGTATATCTAAGGTTAAATCTAAAAGACTGCCTCTGAGAGGTGGTCATAGGCCTTCATTTAAACATAGCTGCAGAATGTGCTCCAGTGTGCAAAAACTGTAGGTCTTTTTGCAAACAACCTGGCTCAAATCTTCTGACTTAGCTCCTGTCCGAAATCTGTAAGCATGAGTATCATGTTGCAAGCAAAACAAGTCAACAATTTATATGGTTCATAAAGTTGGGCTGCTTTAGATTGCCTGTTTCAACAAAGATACAAGCACCCGACCCTTATTTCCACACAAACCAGAGTGGAATAATATTGTTCAGACATAGCCACTATGTTCCGGTGGTTTTCCTATTGCATCTGCAATGCTTCTTCTGTTTCAGGACAGATGGAGCTCATGAGTCATACTCCTACCCAAAGCAAGAAAGATCTGGACACTGGTGCTACAGTGCTGGCTATAAAGTGCATATTTTTACTGGATCAAAACTTGGACAACTTTTGTCCAAAAGACAATAAAAGTTGTCTAAAACACTGCATGTAATCACTTAGAGTGTTGATGATTTTAAACCAAATCTTACAATAAACTGGCAAAAAAGACGTTACAATTTAAGCACCATAAACCATGTTACAATGCGATCCCTTCATCAAACTCCTGCCCAAAGTGTCATTTTGATTGATTCATGCATTTTTTCATATTTTTATCCTCTGAATAGCTGCCTCTCCCTGTCCTGGAAAACCTGAGTGTTGATTTGAGGCAAAAGGCAATAATATCTGTTCAAAATTAAAACAAAGTTGCTCTTTTAGCAACTAATCTCTACAGTGACAGGAAATGCTGCATTTTTAATTCAAAAATTTGTTATTCTGCACTTTTGTAAGGAAGAGCCTAGTTACCAAATGTGCAGTGATACAGCCATGTTTTTGAATGTGTTTTAGAAAAAAGTGAATGTTCTGTAATGCCAAAGCCAATATTTCATTGTATGAGTCTTTTTGGCTCCTTTTTTTCTTTAAATTCTTTTATCATCATTTGCTGAACTGTAATTTCTTACAGCAATCATAAAAATAGCAAAACAAATATCACCTGTAAAACCACCCTCATTTAAAAACTTCTGAGTTCATCTCACAAAACTAAATGTCGGTGTTGATGATAATTTCGGTGCCATCAGAATGATACAACATACCTGTCAAATTTGTGATTTGAAAATATGGAAAATTGTATAACATTCGCTGCAAGCCATCCGGCTATCCCAGTCAAGCTCCAGTATCCAGCATATTTTAAGACATGCATAAGAAATCTAAAATAATCACTTGTCAAACAATTGCAAACTACAAGAAGGTAATCTAATCTACAATACAGGAAATTTACGAGAGACTGATAATAGGGTAGGACAGCCGGAAAGAGCAGTAAAACACTGTGGATCCCTGGTCAAAACGGGAGACTTGACAACTATGTGATGTGATCAAAGTGCATAGATGAGAAAGTCATATTGCGTAATCATGATGTCAACATAATGGTGTTTTCTAAAAGTTTTCTATAGTTATGTAAACTATAGAAAAAAGTTTTGATGACAGGTATTGTACATTTTAAAGTATGCCTTATTGCTGAGATCTTTAATTCATAGTAGCAGCCATTCAAAATTTCCCCACTTTCCTTGATGGGCCCTTGGCTGGTCCCCTACAATTCCTTTTTAAACATCAGTCTTCGTACTAAAATATTCTTTCTGTCATGATTTGTGAATTTTTAAGTGAAGTTTTTAAGATCTAAAGAGAAGCATCATCTCCTGGTCAGACCCTGAAAAAAACAGGAGGCGGCCAGTGGCTGAAAATTGGAGGGGATTTTGCTGGGAGTCGCAGGGAAGTAGGCTGCCATCCCACTGGCATTTGACTGGGAAGGGCCATTATGAATATTTATTTGTTTGAATATATATTTCATTTTCTCCCACACTGTTTCCGTTTGATCACTGCTGCACTTTAAGAAATGGAAATGTCATGAGAGCTGTACAAAACGACAATAAAAGTAGTCTAAGTCCAAACAGGGATCAACCAATACCAACCGATCCACAATAGGTGCTGTATATTGTTTGGGGTGGATTTTGGTGATATTGAGTTTTTTCTCCTCCATTTACAAGATAAGGAAGACAAAATGATAACGAAGGTTAAACAAGTCTAAATTTCAACAAAAACAAATCACTTAGGAGTATTGAAAAAAGTAAACAAAGTGCATACAAAAATAATGGGAACCCAGGGAGGAAGCGGCAATGCATTCATCTTAAGGCAT